AGCATAAATCACAATTAAAAATTTTAATTTTGTTAATTTACGGAAATTTCCGCGGTAATTTGCAAAAATATATATAGCGGGAACGACAATTAAAAATTTTATTTCGGTAATTTATGGAAATTTATGGAATTTTATACGGTAATTTATAGAAATTTTGTCTAAAATTCATAAAAATATGTAAAGGGTCTATCCATTTTATTTCACCTATAGTCGTTGCGGCCTATTTTTAGAAAAATTTGGTATTTTGTATTAATGACTTTTAATATCCGTACAATTCATTTTTGACAATTATTTTATGAAATTTTTTTTAATTTACGTTGAAATTTAGTTTTTAAGTTGAGTTGAACGGAAAATAGGTTAGTTTGACAGCTTTGGAAATTTTATAAAAAGAACAAAAATAATTCAGTCAGTAAATTTTTTTTCATTGATATTTGTTGAAAATAGTCTAATTTATCAATGTTAATTGATAATTGTGTAAAAAAGGCCAAAATACTACGTGAAAATTAATATTCAAACTTACCTGTAAAATATCAAAATTTGTCACATTTTATTTATATTTTCAAAGAAAGTTTATAAATATTGTAAAATTTATTACTACCTAACAATAAGTACTTTTCATGTACTTTCACATGATATGTTGGCTTTTTATTTTTATAATATAGAAATATGAGAAATTTTACCTTGAATGTTGAACTTTTCAGGATTTTATCTGATTTTGAACACTTATATCTTCGGAAGCGATTAATGAAAAAATCCCATTTTGGTTTTAAAATTTAAGTTAAATCTTCTTTATTCATCTTATCAAAATTTGGTGATGGAGAACGAGCTACTTTTTATTATTATTCACTTTAAAAAATTCACCGTAAAATACGCATTTGAAGGTTAAAAAACAAGTATTTTTATAAATAAAATTCATACAAATAAATCTATATTGAGAAAACCAACTTCAGTTTTATAAAATTACTTGTTTTTTAACCTTTAAATTCGTATTTTAAGGTGGATCTTTTAAAGTGAATAAAAATAAAAAGTAGCTTGTTCTCCATCACCAAATTTTGATAGGATGAAAAAAAAGATGATTTAACTTAAATTTTAAAACCAAAATGGGATTTTTTCATTAATCGCTTGCGAAGATATCAGATAAAATCAGATAAAATCCTGAAAAGTTCAACATTGAAGGTAAAATTTCTCATATTTCTATATTATAAAAATAAAAAGCCAACATATCATGTGAGAGTACATGGAAAGTACTTATTGTTAGATAGTAATAAATTTTATAATATTTATAAACTTTCTGGGAAAATATAAATAAAATGTGACAAATTTTGACATTTTACAGTTAAGTTTGAATATTAATTTTCACGTAGTATTTTGGCCTTTTTTACACAATTATCAATTAACATTGATAAATTAGACTATTTTCAACAAATATCAATGAAAAAAAATTTACTGACTGAATTATTTTTGTTCTTTTTATAAAATTTCCAAAGCTGTCAAACTAACCTATTTTATCCGTTCAACTCAACTTAAAAACTAAATTTCAACGTAAATTAAAAAAATTTTCATAAAATAATTGTCAAAAATGAATTGTACGGATATTAAAAGTCATTAATACAAAATACCAAATTTTTCTAAAAATAGGCCGCAACAACTATGGGTGAAATAAAATTGAATGACCCAAAGCATAAATCGCAATTAAAAATTTTAATTTTGGTAATTTACAAAAATATATATAGCGCGAACGACAATTAAAAATTTTATTTTGGTAATTTATGGAAATTTATAGAAATTTATTTGGTAAGTTAACGGTATTTAAATCAATCCCAATCAAGTTCGCTATATTTTTCCTGTAATTTCCACGTAAAAATACATAAGTGTACCAAATTTGAGGTCTCCATTTCAAAAAAACCGATATTAATATATAGGGTTCCGAACCGAGTACGGAACCCTAAAAAAAAAAAAATTTGTCTTTATAAAGACCACAAAATTGAAAATTGTAAACGTAAACATGTGAGTTGAGTGTTCAAACAAAAACATCCCTTTTATTTTTCATTATCTGCATAATATTGTTGTTCTTCAAGGCAGATGTTCTTTATATTTATAGAATTAACTTTTATAACTGCACTTGAATCCAACTATGAAAAAAAAGCCGTTTCGTTTTTTCAATTCGATTTCAATCAATAAAAGGAAATTTAATACAACTATTTCATATAATTATATATACATTTCACAAGAGTTTACATTTCCTGATTATAATCTTGTCTCACGAGAAAATCAGTGATTTCATAATGAGATTGATTTTACTAAAATTAGACATTGCATGAGTATATACTTTCATTTACAAAACGACATAAATGGAAATATTTTCAGTTTCTTTATAGAATAAGCTTTAGAGGTAGTCGCGACTATTCGCCAATTAAGGAATTGAGAAATTATCTGGAATTCTTCAAATCGAATTTGATTTCAAAGTCATTTTTGTTATTTTTTTATACACAATTAGCTGGGAAACGAAAAAAAGTCTTTCTTTAAATAAATTATTTATAATCTATTTAAATTTCCTCATGATTTAATCTATGTAGAATATATAAAGTAAAAATAAAATTATCTATATTTATGATAAAATAATTTTACATCCTCTGTGTGCGTAAAGAATACAAAGAATAAATGCAAGATGTTATAATAATATAGAAAACATTTTTTTTTTTTTTAATAAAAAATAATTATTTAAAAATATTTCAATATTTTATAGCAAGCAAAATAAAAATAATTATTAATTTAAATTATAATTTTTGATAAAAATAAAAAAAGTAAAACATAACCTTAAAATTTTCTCATACCGCAAAAGTAGACCACATATGGAAAGTTATTTCAATAAATCCTATTTTCAAACAATGAAAAATATGTCTTTAATGTATTATTGTTTTTTATAATTTGTAAACAATCCGATATAAATAGTATAAAAAAAACCGCAAAATGTTTGTGCGGTTGATTTTGTCTAACACGGAATGTATATAAAACTATATGAAACACGAAACAATTGAAAATCTTTCTTGTCTTTATAGGTTTTCGATTAAAAAAAGTATTTTTTTTATAAATAATAAAAAAACAGTCAATAATTACCCATCGTTTAGTTATAAAAAAAAAAAAAAAAAAAAAAAAAACGAAAATTCTTCTTTCTCCAACATTTTCCACTGATGGTCCGCCATAGTGTATCAATCCAAGGTTGCCAATCTACTAATATCGACGCGGGCAATTTAATAATTTTTGAAAATAAAAAAAGCAATAATTTTACAAAAACTAGATTCCAAAACAGAAAAAAAAATATTTTTTTGAAAAGGAAAATTTTTTTTATTTAGTTTGAAAAAAATTTGATTTTTCTTTTAAAGTATTTGTCTCAAATCAATTGGGCGACAATTATAGGTTGGTAACAATGGTAATGTTTACGAACTTCAATCCCACTCTTATTTTTTTTTTTTTTTATTATGGTTTTTTTCAGTATCATGTGATACTGATTCATGTGACTGTCAAACGACACTATAGTGCAGTAAATGCATGTATATATTATATATATTCTTGGCGCAACTATAGTGTTGCAAATAGGTGTAGGAAGGTAAAATGTGTAGGTGAGAGGTGAAGAGAAAGAACACACTTGGGTTGACAGAAGAAAAATTTCGTTAGATCATCTAGCAGGGTGTGTCTTTATACATTCTGAATAGATATCGCGTAATTTCGGAGTGTCTCGGTCCTCGATTATAAACAAATGTCGTTTATTCGCCAACAGGATTATCAAAACGCGCAGCAAATCAATGATTCCTTCACCATGTAAGGTTAGTTTTCTCTGTCGACATATAGGTACATTTATAATATATTTATCGTCTTATTTTTTTCTCATGTGTCATCTCAATTTTATTATTTATTATTATATTGTTATAATTTGAGAATGTTTTCATTTATTTTTTTGTCTTTTAAATTAAACTGTCATTGATATATTCATTTTATTTACTAATTCTTTAAAACTCATTGTTTTTTTTTTTACAATGAGACATATGACGATCGAATGGAATTCTTGGAATTTTAAATCTATTATTATAGTTAATTAAACCAGGTCGTTAAAAGTATCTTAATGTATTGATATTTGTGAAAAGAAAATGTGATTTAATATTAAGAAAATGACTTTTTTTCCAATTATTTTTCAAAGTAATAATGAAAGTTTAAGAGAAACCAGATATATTTTCATGGGAGAAAGTAATTCCACATAAACTTGCTAACTTATTTGTTGACAAAAAAGAGTCTTTGCTGAATTAGTTATTCTAACTCGGAAGTTTTAGAAATATTAATTTTTTTTTTACTTTTCATAAAACCAGTTTTACGAAGTTAAACAAAAGTAAATTTGATATTTTTCTCGTAATAAGAATGTATTTATTTTTTTTTTCAATTAATAAATAGTGGTTTACTTTTCATTTACAAGAAATTGTTTATTATTAATTTATAGTTTAAAAATAAGATTAAATGGCGAAAAATTAAGTGACATGTCTATTTTTAACAATGTTTATTATTAATTGATTTTAATTTGCATGGAAACAATTATTCAGATTAGAATAAAATTCTTTCTTAACACTATAAGATTTTGTAATACAAAATTTAAATAAATATTTCCATACGAGATTCTAGTTATAAAGAAAAATTATTAAAAAATATTTTTCTGATTTATCAGATATTTACTGTTTGAAAATAAATAAAATTTTTTTTTTTTTTGTAATATTTATATAATAAAATTGCATTGTTTTACAAAATACAAATTTCTTATAGGTATGAAATATTTTTTGTTCATAAAAAATATTTTCCAATATTAATTTTTAAGAAAAAAAATAATAATAAATAAAAAAAATGTAAATAATAACAAATAATAAATAAATAAAATAAATAAAATAAATATTTACCTTACGAGTTTTGGTGAATGAATTTCTTTAGTTACTGAATTATAAAAAAAATTTAATTTTCAGGTGCTGGCAAGGGAACCACGACAATGGAGGATCCGCAGACACCAGGCTCCGATTGTAATTCCAACCCAGCCACAGATCCAATTGCACAGGATCTTATTGGTTCTGAATTCGTGCAAGACAATTCCGAGTATCAATGGTTCATAGACAGGTGAGTAACAACATTTTTTTTTTATTCATTCATTAAAAATTTTCTTCTTTAAATTCAAAATTCCTCAGTGATAATTGTTTAAAATTTTGAATAAATTATTTAAATTTTATTTTAAAAACAATTTGTTCTTTAATCCTGTTTTTTAAAATTTAATTTTCCTTCTTTGTTTTATTTTCTCTTTTTTTTCCTACATCCGACAAATTTTTACTTAAGCTAATAAATTGAAAATGATGAATTATTAAAACCAAAAAAATATTCTAAAATTTTCAAATTTTCATTAAAAATCTATTTAAGAAAAAGAATACAGAGTTCAGAAAATCATTTGAAGCAACAAAAAAATCAATTATTTTAAAAATCTGCATTAAAAATTTTTATTTATTCATTTATTCATAACATTTTTATGGAAAGTCTATGCAAATTATTAAAAACAAAAATAACCAAAAAATTCTCTACAAAAATATAAAAATTTTATGAGCCAAAAGTTTTGAACGAAATATTTTTTTCAATCTATAAATGATTAAAAATTATGATGTCAATGTAAAATAAAACAGTAAATTAAACAATTATTAAAATAAATAACTTCTTTTTAAATATTTAAAACAATATTTTGTAATAAAATTCGTACTTAAAGGAATTTCAAAAAAAAAATTTCGTTCATTCGAACATTCAAAACTTTTGGCTCATAAAATTTTCTAATAAAATTGTCTGTAATTTTAGAACAAAAATAAATTTTAATTTTCTAAAATTTAAATATTAAAAAAAAATTTTTTTTTTATTAAAATTAAGCGCAAATTTAGTTATTTTCAATAAATTTAATTAAATTCTTCGATAATTAAGTTATTAAAAAAAATTTTTAATTAAATATTCTCTAAAACTCAAGTTTTATAACCTATAAGAAATACAATTTTTTATAATTAAAAATAATTAAATCTTTAATTCAGGTAAACAATTAAAAAAAAACATGAGCCAAAAGTACTGAACGTTCAAATAAATGAAATATTTTTTTCAATCTATAAATTAATAAAAATTATGATGTTAAAGTAAAGTAAAACAGTAAATTAAACAATTATTAAATTAATAATTTCTTTTTAGATATATTTAAAACAAAATTTTGTGAAGAAACGTTAAAGGTGATGTTTTTTAAATTTTTTATTGAGAAAAATTGGTATTATTATAATTTTTATTTGAAATTTAACCAAATGATAAATTCTATTTATTTAAAAAAAAATTTTTATAAATAAAATATTTATGAAAATACTCGAGTATTAGACGAATATTATACTTACATTGAATTATACTTCTTAGGAACCTAAATTATACTTTTTAATGCTTTTATAAATATTCTACAAGTTCTGAACGTTCAAATGAACAAAAAATTTGTTTACTACTTTTTTAAGTTCAAATTTTTGTATTATATTGGTTTTTGTATAAAAAAAAATATTAATAATTATTAATGAATATTTAATGTACTTTTTTTATTTTTCACTTGCTGTAATAATTTTTTTAAAAAAAAGTTTATAAATAAAAAAAAAATGATTTCGTTTATTTTAAACGTATAAATTCAGGCACATAATTGCAATAATTTTTATTAATTAATATTTTATAATTTTAATCTTTTACAGAAAATTTTTGAAATTTATTCTTCTATGCTCAAATTTCCGTCTCCAGTTCTTTAAAATAGAAATTAAAAAAAATCTATTTTTTTTAAATTGTAGAAAAAATACTTTTTTTTAGGAAATTTAATTGTATTTGTATTTTATTTAAAAAAATATATATATATACTTTTGTCTTTTAACTGTGAACTCGATATCTTGTTTCAAATTAAAAAAAAAAAGAAAAAAAAACTATGAAATACAATTTAATTTTCTATATTAAATTCAACGAAAAAAAAAAATCAGTTTTTAGTTTCAATAATCAGTGAATCGTCTTTTCTAAGTTACAGAGATGGAGGACTACATGTTCATCATAGTGTTCTTTCCTCGCTCTCTGCATCCTACACTCGCGATGATTTGGGTTATTATGACGACCTTGCACGAAACTTGGATGCCAATTTGGCAGAAGTCGACATGGAGAGCTTTCGTACCGCTGATATTCACACTCTCCTCACTGCTCTCCCAGTTATGTGCACAGATCCAGTTCAACATTCAGAGGTAGAATTTTCCTCTACCTTTCATAATTTTTTTTTTTTTTTTTTTTTTATTTTCCATTAGAGAACTTTTACACAATTTAGAAACAATTACCATTTTCAATCATTTGCATACATAAACTTCCTTTCCCTCTAAAAATAAATTAAAATTACATTTTTTTTTTTGACGAATTTCAAGTAAAATTCTAATAAAAATTTTATTTATTTAATGAAAATGAAAAATTAATTTTTACCACCCAGTAGAAATTATCAAAATTTTTTTTATTTTTCCCGGAAAAATTGTTTCGCACGAAATAATTGTATATATATACATATTATATGAGAGAGAAAAAATGATAAAAATTTTCTGGACATATTTTATAGAATGTGTATTTTTGTTATGTAGTTTTGAAGTTTTATTTGCATGAAAAAAAAAAATTCAAAACAATCAGACTCTTTTTTTGTCACAAAACGAAACAAACAAAAAAAAAAAAATTGTCAATTATTATTTTTGATTGACAGCATCTTAATATTTTTAAAACAGTTTAACTACCAAAGGGAACGGTACGCCAGTATTTCTGGCTCCGTGATGGAAAAACTTGACATTGGTTCCTCAATTAGTCCTCATACCAGCCAGGTATGAAATCGACTGCTCTCAAAAATTGTCAAAAATAAAAGCTTTATTTGCTTTTGTTAATGATAATAATTAATTCTCATAAATTAAAAATAAAATAATAATATTATCCAAATATAAATAACCAACATTTTATCCGATGATGAATTTGCGGAAAAATTCTCTCTCTCTCACTTGCATGAATTTTTCTCAGATGTCAATCTCCAATTTCGCGAAGCTATATGAAATTATTTTGCATAAGGTTGTTCACCTAAGAGAATTTCTTGACAAAATTTAATGCTGACAATTGAAAAAATTTCCGGTTTTTTTTTTTTTTAAATTAAAAGCTAGTGATGAAATAAACAAGATTCTTGATTAAATTTTTTTTTAATTCAAAATATTTTAAAAAGAATTATAAAAAAAAAAATTTTTTTTTAACAATTTATTCTTTAAATTCAAGAATTATTTTTAAAATTCGATTATTTCAAATATGCAATTATTTTCATATCTAGATTATGTTGTAGATTCAATTACATTTAATTTAATTATTAGTAAATTAATAGTGTAAATAAATTTTTCTTTTTAAATAATTTGTTGAATTTGTTAAAGCAAATTTTTTTTGAAATTTATATATTTTTTTATTTAAAATGGTTTTTTTTTTCAATAAAATAATTTTTTTCTTAATTCTAAAAATTTGTTGTAAGAATATTTTAGGGAAATTTTTTTTCCAAACCGTAAAAAAAAATCCATTAAAAAACCTTGTAATATATTTAAAAAATTTTACGGTTACTCTGCTAACAATAAATTTTGTTAGAAACTATCATAATTGAACGATCTTAAAAAAATTAATGAGTTTGATAGTTTTGATATGTAATGCATGGCATCAGCTTACGCAAAATTTGCATGTTTTTAATTAATTCGATTACTATTTTTGTAACTTTTAATAAATTAACTAAAATTATACTTGAGGTGTAAAAAATTAAAATAATATTAAGATTATTTGGTTGTTATAAATTAATAATAATAATAATAATAAAAATAATATTAATATTAATCATAATAAAAGTAATAAATAAATCATTTTATAGTATATAAATGATACAATAATAGAAACGAAGAGAATATCGAAATATTTTTTTGAATGTTTATTCAAAATAATTTCAATCACTGTTAAAATTTGCATATTTTATATTTATTTTTCTTCTTTTATATTCAGAAATATTTTCCTTACTACTTTTTTTCAAATCATTTATGATTACTATTAAATTAAGCGCGAACTAAAATTTAATGTTTTTAAAATTTTACTTTTCAATTTACTTTTCAAAAAGAATGCATCACAAATTTTATCAAAAAAACATCTATTATTAAAAATTTTATTACATCTCTGATTTATTTATTTGTAAATATTATAAATTTATTTTATACTTATAATATATAATAATTATTATTATTATATATATTTTTTTAATCATTATATGTATAATTATATATTTTATTTTATAAATTTTTATTTGTTTATAAAATACAGATTTATCAAATAATTTTTGTTTCAAAATAATAAAATTATTTTTAATATTTGGAGATTTTTTGAAGTAAATAAAAAACATTTAAAAATGATTTCAAAATTTTTTCTAATCCTTTTATTAAAATTCTTTTTAAAAATTATGTAAATAAAGAATTTTTTTTTAAAAAATAGATTAAAAAAAAATTCAAATTTTTCCAAAAAAAAAAAAAAAGGGAGAAGAATCAGCATGCTCGACAACAGACACAATATCGATCTGCAAGTCCTCGTTGTTGTTTTCCCCGGTGAAAGAAACTCCAGTCCTACCACCGGGTGGAAGTTATAGTGTCGATTCATTGGATTGCGAGGATATGTTACTCACGTGTCAGACAAATAACAAGAACAACTATACAATTGCATTCGAGGGCAGTATCACCATGTACTCGGATGGTTCTCAAGATTTTGATGGTCATGGTAAGTTAATTCTTTTTTTTTTTTTTTGCAATTAATACAAAAAAATATTTATGTATCTGCACCTCTGCTTTTGCCACCAAAAAAAAGGAGAAAAAAAACACCGCAAATAGCTTTCATGCTTCTATTTTCAGACAAGCAAAAAGTGTACGAAGCACCAGTGACTTATAATGATAAAACGTTGGATTTAAAAAATATCTTAAATTTATCTATGGCATGTTCCGATTCAAAAATTTATACAACCTGGAGTAATCTGAAACATTCGTCCATCAATAAAGCCATGACACGACATCCATCTGGAAATAATAATACTATTCCAAATTTCTTACAAGGCGCTGGTAACATTCTTCTGAGCAACGCTAAACGGAGCCAGAGTCTACCGGATTTATCCAGGACCCATGAACTTCAACAAATCAATGTACCTCTTAATTTTTCCGTAAGTTAAATTTCATTATGTCCCTGACTTAATGAATCTCAAATTGGAATGCGTGAATAAGTTTTAAAAATTAATTGTTAGAAGTTTTATTTAATAAAATTTTATTAGACATCATTTTCGAGCCTCATAAATGAGGGGCTGATAGTAAAAATGGTTTAAAATAACATTGGGAGCAAAAGTGGGATAAGTGACTTGGGAGCAAAAACGGGTTAAAATGATTCGTGTAATTTATTGATAAATTCATTATATTAACGATTAAAAAATATTAACAATAGGAAAAAATGCATATTTTATTATAATTAATATTTTTTAATTGATAATATAATGAATTTATCAATAAATTACACGAATCATTTTAACCCGTTTTTTCTCCCAAGTCACTTATCCCACTTTTGCTCCCAATGTTATTTTAAATCATTTTTACTATCAGCCTCTCAAATTTCCCATAGAAAATAATTAATTAAATTTTTTATTTTAAAGTTTTTGATTAGAAATATAATTACTTTTTTTAGATGAATTTTCAAAATTTTGACAGATTTTCTTTTTATACGAATTTTTTATTTAACAAAATTTTTAGCTAAAGAATTTTTATTTTATTTATTCGAATTATTAGTTTTGAGAATTTACATTAAACTGATTTTCTATTTTAGAGAATTTTTATAAAACTGAAAATACATTTCACAGTAGTTTTATTTGTTCGAATTTTTATTTTCTCGAATTTTTCCTTTAAGATAATAGCCATTTTAATAAATTTTTATTAGGTAGAATTTAATTGCATAGAATTTTATTTTAGATGAATTTTCATTTATTTGAATTATTATTTGATAGAATTTTCATTTATAACCAATTTTTCATACTATACAAAATTTATACTTAATCGAAAAATCATTTAACACAATTTCTAATATGAGCCAAAAGTTCTGAACGTTCAAATGAACAAAAAAAAAAAAATTGTTAAAAAATATTGAATGTAGTTTTTTATTTTTCATTACTGTAGTAATTATTTATAAAATTTATGGACAAACAAATTATTTCGTTCATTTCAACGTTCAGAACTTCAGGCACATTAATAATTTTTAATAATTTTTAAATAAGAATAATTGCATATAATTTTATCAAGAAATTTAATTTAGATAATATATCAAAAAATATGAAAGTTACTTTATTTTAAAAAAATATTTCGAGTCTGATATATGCAAATTATTTATGAATTCAGAATTTTGTCAAAATTTTAAATTTAAATGGTTAAAAAAAAAATTCAGTCCCATTTTTAAAAATATGATAATTTATCTATGGGAAATAAGATAAATTTTTACCTAAAATGTGTTTTAAATATTTTAATTTTAGAACAAGTTGATAAAAATTATTTGAATTGAAACAATTGATTAATATTATTGAAAGAAATTTTTTTTTTTTTTGCTATAATTTAGAAAAAAGTGTTAAAAATTGGAAAAATTTTGCTTCATAAACAAATAGAAATATTAAAAATTGCAAAAAAAAAATTATGAGGTTTTTTTTTTAAAAAAAAAGGAAATAATTTTCTCCTTCTTACAAAAAAAAAAAAAAAAAAAAAAAATACCAAATGACATTTTTTATCATAAGTAGTAGGTAAATAGAAAATCCTGAAAATTTGTAGAGAAAAAATGTTGGTCTTTTTAAGAAAAAAAAATATTTAGTTTTTTACAAAAATTCAATTATTATCGTTATTCAACATTTTTGTTGATTTTCATATTTTCTAGAAAAAAATTTTTTAAAAAATAAACTTAGAACCAACTAAATAGCTTGAAAATTATCAAAGTTATGAGATTTTTAAGAAAAAAAAAATTGAGAAAAACTATAGTTTTTACTAAAATTTTAAAATATTCATAAAAAATTATACAAAAAATTGTTATGAAAATGTTGGAAATTACGTGTTTCTTTATTTTTTTCAAGTAGAAAAACATATTTTACTGTGATGTTATTTCTCAATCTCTACCATCAAACTGTCTGCATAATTAGGTGTCCTTAAAAAAAAAAAAAAATAACAATTTTCCATTTTATTTGAAAATATTTTTGTTAAAATAATTTTTTAAAAATTTATTTCTCCCAATTCCAGGTGGACTCAGCAACGAGCAACCACACAGGCGCTCTACAAAGTTCCGGATCCGTAATGAGTCGTTCAGTGACCGAGGAGAGTTCAGATAGTGTTGGCAATGTTTCATCATCAAAAAAGCTACACAATATGAGCTTAGTGAAATTATTTATGAAACAAAAGAGCATGAGCGCCGAGGGAATGAGTTTAACTCTCGATCAATCGGATTCTGTCAGTGAAAATGGTTGGCCAACGAGTAACAGTGACAGTGGTACAAATACACAAATTCATCGACAAAATATTAATAATTCCGATCGTCAAGAATTGACGGAAAATGATTTCACCATTAATTGGGTTAAAACAGAGCATTACAGCGGTTCCGAGACGCAAACAGATAATAATTTAAGTGACATTCCAAAGCATCAGAATTCAATTCGCAAAGAATTGTCAAATATTTCAAATGGAGATTTAACAGATAGTACAACAAAATCAACATCAGCACTCGACAGTCATTCGGAAGTTGAAAGACGTCCAAAAAATGCATGGTGTGACGCTACAACACAAGAGAAACGATATTCAAGGACAATGGGAATTCAAGCAATCACTGAAGTTGAGGATAATGCTGTTCAAACATCACTTGTCTATCCAATTCCCGAGGTGAAAGCCACAAATACAATTCAAGAAATGCACGTTGACAAAAAATCCGTCTACGTTGTCTATCCAAATTATACACTTCCGGATCTTTCATTTCTCAACAGTTCGAATGAAAAATTTGAGAATATCGCATTGAAACCACAAAATTTCAATAAGGAAAAAACATGGAAGAAATCGACTAAATCAAATAGACCATTCTCGTGTAATGATATTGATGCATTGAAACAAAGGGGATTTTCACATGTTAAAGATTGGGAATCACTTACTTTTCTTTTGCCCAATGATTATAAGAGAATTTTACACGATGTACCGGAAGTTCCACAACATATCAAACTTGGTGAGGAGGTGAGAAAACCACTTTTTTGCCTATCACCGCCAATGAAGTCGAGACGACGTGTCATTAGTGAAATTGTGAATAATGCATCGTCAACAAGTAGTACAGCAACTCAACCATCATCAGGATATAGAGGATCGTCGACTCTACTCACGGATTCGTCAACAAATCAACAGACATTCAATAGCGCTGCTAATCCACTTTATCTCTATCGATACGATAGTGCGAGCTCAGAAACAAGTCAGGAAATTACAAACAGGTGAGATTAATTCTATTTCTTCATTTATGATGACAATGATAATAATATTTAAAGGAATTTATAAAATCGTCGATGATCAAAAGAGCAGGTCTTAAATTATACGACTTTTTCCGACTGGTTTTTATACTTTTGACAATTTTTTTTAGAACAAAATACGATATTTTAGTAATACAATTCAGATCTTCATCAGATCTTTTTTTTTTTTTTTTTTAATTTCAATTATTTAACAACTTTTTAACTAAAATTCTTCTCTAAATTCATTATTTTCAATAATTTTTATGAAATTTCTCACAAATTCGATTATCTTAAACTATTTTTTAGTTAAAAATTCCATGAAATTAAATAATTGTTTAAAAGTAAAAAAAAAAAATTACGAAATAAAATTACCAAAATTTTTAATTTAAAATTTTAAAAAATTATTTTTAATGATTTTTAAAATATTCTTCGAAAATCCAATTATCGGAAAGCATTTTTCAATTAAGGGTTAAATTAACCAGTTAAATGTTTTTTAAAAAATTGTAAAATGGTAAAAAAAATTATTTTTTTAATTTTTTATCATAAAATATGGTTTTAGGTCTCAAACATATTTTCCAAAAAAAAAAAAAAAAAAAAAATTGACACCTCTATAAATAACTTAAATTTTTATTGGTTTTTAAATTTTACTGTTAATACATTAAATTTAAAATTCAACTTCTTTCCCAATTTCTATTATTTTTCATCGATAATTTTTTGAATACTTTTTTGTAGTTCTGAACAATCAATCGTGTAGATTTAAATTCTAGATTTATTAAATTGTAGATTTATTCTAAAATTGAAAAAAATTTTTTTTTAAATTTCCATAATTTGGAATAATTTTAAACTCTGAATAATGCCAGAAAAAATTGGTATAAATTTGGAAAGGTTAAAATTTCACTGGACCTTGAAAATCGGAAAAACGACGCGTAAATTTAGTTACGCCTTGAAAAACCGTTCATTTTTTTGTACAAAATTTTTAACAAAATACGTCTTTTTTTATGTATACAATGCAAATCTTTTTTATTTCAATTATTTACTAAATTTTTAACTTAAAAATTTTCTGTAAATTAATTATTTTTACTAATTTTACAAATTAAATTATCTTAAAGTATTTTCCAATTAAAATTTTTATCAAATTCAACAATTTAAAAATTTTTTTAAAAAAATTTAATAAAATTTCAATTCAAAACATTTTAAAATTTAATTATTCTTAAAATTTTTCATACCAACAAGTTTTTGAAATTTAATAATTTCAATTATAACTCTTCCGAGATGCAATTATTTTTAATGATTTTTACAATATTCTTCAAAAATTCAATTATTTGAAAGCAATTTTTTAATTTTCAATTAAAAAATTTTTAAATTCAATTTTTGTCTTTAATTTTTAATAAATACTTCAGCAACAGAAATCACCAAAAAATTTCAATATTCAAAATCACTTGAATTCAATTATTTTCAAAAATTTTAATTTAAAACCTTCGAAAACTTAATTATTTCATAAAAGTGTCAACTGTAATTCCTCTTAAGAATTTAATGATTTTAAATGATTTTTATAATATTCTGCAAAAATTCAATTATTTGAAAGCATTTTTTAATTAAAAATTTTTTAAATTCAATTTTTGTCTGTAATTTCTAATATGTAAGTTCTTCATCAATAGAAATCACAAAAAAAAAAAATTTAATTAAAAATTACTTGAAGTTCAATTAAATTCGAAAATCTGAATTGTAATTCTTTGAAAATTCAATTACTTTAAAAAGTTTAATTATTTTTAATAATTTTAATACTTTCATTTAAGAATTCAATTTTTTTAAAAAGTTACAAATAAAAACTCTAAAATTGAACATTGTTGTCAGAATTTTTGTTAAATAAATTTGTCTTATTTAATTAAAATTTTTTAAAATATAAGTCTTTCATTTCTGAAATATTGGAAATAAATTTTCTTGATAATATTTCTATAGAATTATTCTTATTAAGAAATTAATCAAATGGATTTAATATCTAATAACATTAATTATTATTTTAAGTAAAATACTTATTTAGGGTCAGTTGGGGTAAATGGGGACATGGCCTTAAAGGAAGAAACTTACGTAATTTGTGAAAAATAGTGATTTTGTCCCCATTTACCCCAACTGACCCTAACTAATTAAATTTAAGGCCATGTGATTCTCTATCATATTTTACAAATTTCAACCAAAAATTCTTTACCATTTTAGAGAAAACTTGGTTTTGCATGGAGGTCACGTGGATATTTCCCACATGGCCTTAATTAAAATAAAAAAAATCGACTTTTTTTGAAATGTAAATCGACTAAAGGAACTTTTTTTGCGCCTTAAAGTCGATCCGAGGCCTATCACTATATTTTCATAAGGGATTTTTTTTTCGTATCTGTAGCTTTATTTTCAGATTTTGTTTTCTTTTTTTTCAGATATGGAATTCAAAAGGGAGTGGCGGGTCCAACCCTTCCAAAGAGATCGAAATCATTGCCGCAGGGTGAAAAGGATTCAAGTGATTATACCGGTAAAGTTCCACCGCGACCACCATTGCCAAGAAGTATTTTACGAAAGAATAAAGTAACAAAAAGATGTAGTATGTTTGAAATGGGTGATGTCGAGGAGGTTGAGGACAAATGTTTAGAAACAAATAAACGGATGTCAATGCCCGAGCCCTATTATATAAATAATGATCTTCATCTTTTGCGAAATGATAGAATAGACGATTCAGATAAGGATGTAGACGAGATTGAGGAGAGATTTCAAATTGAGAGACTTAAGGAAATGGTCGATCGTATTGATGATCGATCATCAATGGACAGTAGTGAGGAGGATGTTAAACAATTGGAAGAATTTTTAAAACGCAGTGGATTCTCATCGCAAAGTAGTGATGGCGATGAAAATAGTGATACAGATGTGAAATTACGATCGTATGTTCGTAAATTTTTAGCATTGCGAATGAATAAGGATATTTTGAAAACAATTGATATGGGTGAATCGCAGAAAAAAACTGTAAGTTTTGCAACTGGTGAAAGAAATTATTTAACGGACAATAATCTCGATGTGAAAGAAACAATGATTGATGAAACAAAAGATGAGACTGATGCAAGATGTTTTGATTTGAATGAAAAGAAACAATTAATGTGGCCAGTGAAAAAAGCTGTTGATGTACTATTAAAATATTGGCACGCAGAGCCAGTACGCAGTCGACAGGGTTACAATGACAGTAATGAATGTTCACAAATTTCATTACAAAATCTTTGCCCACCACTTTATGCAATTATGTCCGATGATCTTAAACCACAATTGAATTCAACATTTGGACCAATGGCAAATAGTGTATGGCAAGTTGTTGAGGCATCATCACAGCAAGGACCTCTTACAAAAACATTAAATGAACTTGTGCAAAAAATTAATAGCGAAGATTTAATAACTGAGGGAATGCTCAAATTTAATGCTTTTGTTTTTGGATTATTAAATCTTCGTGCATTGGACGCGTGGTTTGCTTATTTATGCACAAGAGAATCAATTCTCAGAAAACATTATAATAACAATAGTCTCTTTGTGCGAGCACTTTCCTGTGGTCAATCGAGGGAAGTGATTGACGCATTACTTGATATTCTACAACCATTGGCCTTCTGTCCATTTCAACTTGATTTACTCTATCAATATCGTCAGTTACACAATAGTTTTGGCAGTAGAAAAAGTGTATTTCGCAATGAAACAAATCCAGAGAGTCCAAGAAAAGCGAGACCACGCTCGTGTATTAATTATGGATTCGATGATAAATGTCGTGATCAAAAAGCAGAAATTGAAAAAGCAGCAAAAAAACGATGGAGTCATTTACCATTGAGTTCGAAATTTCATTTTGATAGGATAGGATCAGAGGACTCAGAGGAGTACACCGATAGTTTGGAGCATTCACCATTAAATAGAGCTTCCGCTAAATCAATATCACGATTGCGAAGTCCAGAGACGCGTGTCATTGATGATGAGGACGAGGTAATTCCTGCCGATGTGAAATTTCGTAAATTACAAGAAAAATGGGAAATGGTATTGGGTAAAGATGAGAGTAAGGAACAAATTGTACCACCACCATCATCACCCAATAGGACACCAACGTGTAATATTGGAAAATCAAAAATTCCCCGCCTCTTAACGTCGCCGATAAGAACATTGAATTTAACAAATGCACAAGGAAAAAATACAAAATCACCCGTCACGGGGATACCGGCATTGAAGAAGACGCCAACACAGGTGCCAAAGACATTACCGAAGAAGCCCGATTCACGGGGAGCTAAGGACGTGACGAAAAGAACGAGTCGCGTCGATCAAGAAATGGTGAATATTGGAAAAACACATTTAACGAGGCCGAGTTCTCTACCTTATAAAACTTATGGAATGACCAAGGATAAGGCAATGATTTCGCCTCATAGACGAGCTGCGTCCACATCATTACCGAGACCAACGTCTGCTGTTATCACTAGAAATACTCCGGCTAAACAAACGCCAAAGTAAGTCGATTTTTCTCCACTATAATAATAATATTCTTTATTAATTTCAGTAATTTTAATAATTGACGCAGTTTGTGCAAAAAACTGTGAGCTTAAAAATTTTCTATGATTGATTTGTTTTTTAATTATAATAACAAAGTTATTAAAAAAAATTAAATAAACTTTTCGACTTTTGCTATTTCTACACAAAATGAAATGAAAAACATAAAAAAAAAATGGAACAAAATAAGTGTTTTGTCAATGTACAATAATAATTAAAATTTTGAATATTCTTATTTATTATTAATTTAAAAATTGAAAAATATAAGTCTTCTTTTTGAATATTGTCTTAAGGCCATGTGGGAAATAGACGTTTTTTTGAGGATTCCAACTTTCTCTGAAATAAATAATGATTTCGGGTTAAAATATTCAAGACTTGATAAAGGAGGGTGCAAAGCATAGGGCTGTTCTCCTCATTTACGTAAAAATAATAAAAATAAAGTAATAAATAGTAAAATAATGTATTTAATCATAGTTCATTCAGCGGCCACTCGCTCGAATTGGCGCTGTTTACTGGAGAACTGACACACTCAAGCAACGTCTGTGTATGCGCCGCCATCTTTTTGTCATTTTCGTTTAAAAATGTCACTTTTTAAAATTAGGTTTTAAATAATTTAATGCAAAATTAAGTTTTTTCAGGAGAACAGCGCGGTGCATTGTACCCAAATCTATCAACCCTCAAAATTTTAGCCTAAAATTATTTTTCATTTTAGAGAAAGTTGGAATATTGCAAAACACATTTTCCCATACTAGGTCACGTGGGTTTTTCCCACATGCCGTTAAGGAAGTAAATTTTTTTTTCAGTAAAACGGTAAATTTTCTATCAAAATGCAGATCCTTTACATTTCATGTCCCAAATAAGAAAATTTCCGAAACGAAGTAAATTTTGTTTTATTTCAAGTTGTATTAATTATTATTATTATTATTTTATTTTAATTATTATTATGAATATAATATAAGTTTTAAAAAATTTAAATTTTCAGTTTATTTTGAACATTAATACTAATAAAGAACAATTTTCGAATGGAAACTAAAAATTATTGGTATTTTTAAATTTATTTCTTTGAATGTAAAATCTGTTTCATTCTTATGTACAATTTATCAAATGTAAAAGATCTGCCATTTGTCTAAATGTTTTGAATAGAAGAATGGCATGTAATTAATATTCGACATTCTTTTGAATTAACGACAGTTTTGTAGTTAGTCTGTACAAGCAGTTGACAAGTTTTTAATAAAAGATGTAAGGTATTATTTTTGGAATTTTAGAAATACTTTGTTTTTATTTAAATTTATATTTTCTTATTTGGTACATTGCCCAAAGCGGTTTGGGCACTCCGCAGTTTGCCCGCCAACGCTTGGGCAAAGCTCGATATATTCAGCTTTACCCAAAATGGCTTGGGCAAACTGCGGAGTGTCTGGGCATTCCGCAGTTTGCCCGCACTCTGGACTTTGAGCACAACATATATATATATATATATGTGCGATTCCAGGTGAGATTTTGACTTTTTCTGAGTAGGTTAACCGATTGCAATGAAACTTTGGAATTTTGTTATATATAGTAAGACTAATCTTTAACGTAAATTTCAGCTTAAAATATTTGTTAGTTTACGAGATTTGCAATAATAACAAAAAATTTTAAACTGCTATATCTTCCGTTCTAATAATCGGATTGAGGTCTACTTTTTTTTAAAATGTCACTCTTATGTTTTTGGGGTCGCTGATTACGAATCTGAAGTCAGATTTTAAAAATTTTCAAAATTCAAGATGGCGGATCCAATATGGCGGACATTTTTATTAAAATTTGATCAGATTCGCTTGAAACTTGCTACTCGGGGGTTTTTGGGGTCGCTGATTACGAATATAAAGTCAGATTTTAAAAATTCAAAATGGCGGATCCAATATGGCGACCAAAATTTTTTAAAAATTATCAGATTTGCTTGAAACTTGTTACTCGGGGATTTTTGGGGTCGATGATCACGAATCTTACATCAACTTTTAAAAATCAGGTCACAGATCACGATTTTGATGTAAAACTTGTTAAAAATTCAAAATGGTGGAGCCAATATGGCGGATGAAATTGTAAAACATGTTTACATTTATAAACTTAAATGTAATGAGGCTGATTTTTGAGGTTAAGGTTTTTAGAGTTAAGGACAGTTTTTGAAATTCAATTTGAGAATATTTGAAAGTTTCAGTTGAGCTTAAATTGTAAAGAAATGATATAGAAAAAAATTTTAAAAAGGAAAGGAAAAATTTTAAAAAAGTAATTTAAATATTTAAAGGACGAGGTTCTTGGAGTTAAGGGTAGATTTTTCAAAATTTAATTTAAGGCTATTTAAAAGCCTCAAATTAGCTAAAATTATAAAAGATTTATGTAGGCTATATTATTCTGCAAATAAAAAAAAATTGATAGTTTATTGCGATTTTTCTTTTTGGAAAAAATGGAAATTTTTTTTCTATAAATTTGCAAATTATTTTAGATTATTATAAAATTTTATAATAAGTATATATATATATATTTAAATGAAATAATAATTTTTTCAGATTGGTGCGAACGTTAACTCACAGATATTCATCGGATGATGGACATCTTGCATTCAGCGAAGGCGAGAAATTGAAAGTCATTTTGGAAGTTGACAACAAATGGTTGTTGTGCGCAAGGGGCGAAAGAAAGGGTTTAGTACCAAGAGCGTGTGTTCACGCAATACAAACCTAACCCTTAGCTTGACATCGCCTTTCGACGATTAATCAACACAAATTCGATTACTAAACAAAAAAAAAAAAATTATTTAATATAATACAAAAGAGCAAATTTTCTCAAATTAAAAAGGAAATTTAATCACGCATTTTATAGAATCCAAAATTAATCGAGTTTTCTCTTATATATATTTATAAACTCCCTTGAGTTTGGATTCTTGAAATGTTTCACGCTTTTTAAATGAGACACTCAATTTTATTTGTTAATTTTTCAATTTTAACATTTTTTTAAATTGAAAAAATATGTAAAATTTAAAACAAAAGAAAGTGCGAGAGGAGAAAAAAAACCACAAGCAAAGAGAAAAAGTATGCATGTATAGTGTATGAGAGAGAATCGAGTATTGTTTTTTTTTTGTTTTTTTTTTCCATTAAACAAATAAGACAGTCAACTTAGTTACCTTTTTAATGTTAAAAAAATTTTCGAAAGAGATTGAACGCTTCGTTTATATAATATTGAAAACTGCAGTAGTATTATTATTGATTATTAATAATTAATGTCGTAAGAATTATATAGAGATACTGCTAGTCATAGGCTCTCGAACCAGAAATGTATTTAATAAGTTTGAACATACATTATTTATAATATCCCAGAGATGTACATAAAATTCTATACAGTATAATTGTAGCGACGCTGGTTTAAATGATTGCGATTATAATAATAATAATAATGAAGAAGAAGAAGAAAAAGATAAAAAGAAGTGACGTCGAGTAAAATAACAGATATATCATAACACTATAAATGTAACTGTGATCATAGCAAATAGGTTCGTAAGTTTATTAAGATTAATGCGGATGTGCGAGACGAAAAAGAATTTTTGTTACAAAGATTTATCAAACGTTTTTTAAAACAAAAACAAAAAAAAAAATGAAAAAGGCAATTTTTATATTTTATTCATTTCGCACAGGTCTCGGGAGAAGATTATTTTCTATTTTGATGTATCATTGGCTTTACATCGATTTTATTTGCTATTTCACGAGATATTTTTTTGTCCAAGTTTCTTTTTATTTTAACTTGGATTTTTCTTAAAAAACAAAAACAAAAAAAAAAAAAAACGAAAAAAAATAGAGGAAATTTATATTTGAATGTTTTTCTTTCTTCTTTTATTTGTTGTAAACTCATAATTCTGAGAAGCAAATTTGTGATGTTTTGAAATTGATTTTTTGAATTATTAATATTTTTAAATTATTTTACAACGCTTTTTTAAATGTTCTATTCAATGTCGAATAATTTTTATACGTTTAAGTGAAAAACAAAAATTATTTCTTTTTTTCAATATTCACGAACAATAACTTTATCGAAAATATACATTTTAAAATTACAAAAAAAAAAAATTGTTATGATCATTAAAGGAATTTTCTGTTCTCTCGACAAATTGCTTGAAATGTTGATCTGCGTATATTGGGGAAATATATATATATATATTCATATATATCACTCGTAAAAAAAAATATCGCTGGATACACATCTGCCTTGGATGACATTTATTAATGCGTAAATAATAAATAATATAATGTATATGTTTACACAAATAAAACGTCAATACCTATATTTAAGTGGAGTTATTTTTTATATTAATTAGATTACTGTTAACCAAGGTAATTATACTCACAAAAACGCTTTTTACTTAACAAATCATTAATTCAGAATTAAAAAAAAAAACTAGAATTAAATAAATAATTTAAAATTTTGTCTGGTTAAAAAAAAAATTTAGAAATTTTACCTTAAAATAAATTTTGAATATAAAGTAATTATTTAATTTTTTAAATAAGTGTAAGTTAAAAGACCTAATCGCTGAACATCAGTGGCTACACGTTAGGCAATAAATTATAGTAAAAATATCATTTTTAAATTTTTTTAATACAGAATTATTTTTTTAAAGAAACATGAAAGTTTCAAATATTCTTAATATTATGTTTTCACTTTCTTATTTTTAATAACAATATTATATTTTAACATCTTTCATTTATTATATTTTCACTAAAAGTGAATGTAACCCCAAAAATTATCCATGTTTTTGTAATTTTTATGAAACAAAAGCAGTCGATTCCGTTTCGTTGGAAATATTATTTTATTGTTTGAATTTTGCTCGCAACAATTGAAACTAAACGACTATTTCAAATAAGCAAATTTTTTTTTTTAGGGCGCACTCACACCTCTGGCTGCCTGCACAGGCAGCCAGTGAGAGCCAATCAAAGAGTCAGTAGATTTAAATTTGAATTTTCTGTCTCTCTTACTCTTGTACGTTTTCTGCGTGGTGGGAGGCTGCCTGTGCAGGCAGCCAGAGGTGTGAGTGCGCCCTTAGAATGTTATTTACACATTAAAGTTATGTGACTGTTAGAGGTCTGTAATGTTAATTTGTCCGTAACTTTTCTAGTATAATACTGAATAGATTCAGTTGAAATAATTATCATAAAACACTTGAAAATAGTTAGAAAATATGGGGTTAGGAGTGTGTAGGATTTTCTAACAATTTTTATGCCTTTTATTTTATTTATTTAACAATATATCAACATTTTGATAAATCACACGTTTACGTCTTCGGCTGCAAAAGCCAACGTAAACAATTATTATTGGCTGCCATTGGAACCTTGTTGCTGGGTGAAAATTTCCCAACTGGGCCACTTAAAACTGACTTTTCAAATTTAAAATATTTTTTTTTCATAATCTATTGCAGAAAGCCGAATTAAAAACATTCCTGAAATGTGTTTTTAAAAAAATTAATTTTTTAATTATTTATTAACAATTGAATATTTTGGATAATGATTTTTACGAGGCCTTAGTTACGGTCTTTATTGATGTTATAAAATTGGTTGACAACGTTTCGATACCTCACAATTTTGGAATAATAATGTGGAAAATTTTTTTTTTGGAAAATACATGGTTTATGGCGCACAAGGTATAAAAAAGAGAAACACCTGCAAATAATTAGATTTCGTCAGCAAGAGTGATTCCTTAAGGTATCACATCGGTAAAACCGTTTTCTATAAATTTTCTTGAAAATTTTACCATATGTTCTTATTATCATTCTTGACAAATTTGCAAAATATGAAGAATTTTCGCCGTACGAAACCAGAGATATTAGCAATCAAAGTTGCTTATTTTGCATGAGAGACGGGACTAATGTATGGGGGAGAAGTACATTTTCATAAATATCATCAGAAGTTTTCTATAAATTTTTTTCAAAAACTAATGTTGAATTCACGAATAAATTTGAAACTAAAATATACAAAGAAATTTATAATTTACCGTGCCGTTTATTTGTAATTATAATTATAAATTAAAAATTCTATTTCATGACGTCATTTGCAATATATAGCACACCCGCCACTTTGATGTGGCAACATCGCAGGATGGTAACATTAGTTAGAGAGAGACAGTAGTCCACAGTAGTCAAAGCGAGACTTATAGCGACGTTGTCAAACCTCCTACTCCTTCCAATCGCTGCTAGTGTGGGGTATACGTGTACGAGTGTATTTGTAGAAGTAGGTACAGTATGGGCAGAGAGTATTGGGAGTTAAGGGCGAAAGTATAATGTGGGAAGTAGTAATGCGAGCTACAAACTCTTGACTCCGATTAGTGCCGATGTGATACCTTAATGTGATGAAAATATTTTGTAAAACTTACCTCATAAAGAGGGTTTCTATTATTTATAAGATTACATTGTTATAAAATGATTTTAAACAGGTTTAAATAAAAACGTGACACTTGTAGGTTATGTATTAGTCGATATAGATATTTAGTACATATCGATATTTTATAGTAATCGATACTCGATAATAATCGTAACTAAGACCTCGTAAAAATCATTATCCAAATAACCAAGAAAACGGACGTAAAAATTTTGAAACAATTGAATATTTTGTTACCTTTCCACTAAATTTGCAATTACTCTGTTGCTTGTTAATGAAATTTAATAAAATTTGGTGAGCATATAAAAAAATTATGTCTCTTTGAAATGCAATAGAAATTTCAATTAATTTGTATTGTTTATGCAAATAAAATTGTTTATTTAATAAACAAATGAATATTTAAACTATTTCTCATATGTTTAGGAAAAAATTTCAAAAACCACATAAATCTACACTTTCTCAACTTTAATTAAAAAAAAAAATCTTAGTACTTTTAAAAAATGAGTAAATTACGCGAATTTGAAAAGCGACGTGCAAGCGGTGAAACAGTTACCACTGCAGCGCGCGGCGCGCTTCTACGCGTCGAAGCCTATTCTCTGTTATCGAATTATTGACTAGAATTCTTCAATATCAAATTTTTTCTTTATTTTATTATTTAACAATCATATAACTTTTCATGACAACTGGTTTCTGAGAATTTTTTTAAAAAACGAATATAATATTCGTTCATTTGAACAGTCAAATTTAGAGACCAAACATACATTGATATATTTATTTTTAGAACAAGAAAAATATATATGAATATTTAATACGCACCCAATTGCATAAATGCTGTCCTTCCTGTTTGATGACATTTTGTCGAGACTCATACTCACTGCGGACCCAGTATAACTATAAACGCACATTTCACTTTTGAGCAGCCTACTAAAATAATTTGTTATTTCTGATTTTTCGTTATCAAAAAGATATTTCTTCAAAAATTATTTATTATAAACGTTATGAACTTTAAGCATCGTAGAAATTTTAGGTTAAAGTATACAAAACGAATTTGCGGGATTAATATATCAAAACTAAAGCTTCATTTTTTGGTTCTAAAATGAGCATTAAAAAAAATAGTGATTATTATTTATTTTCTTTTAATTGAAAGACCAATAATTGGAAAAAAAATTAATAATGAAACAGATTTTATAAAATGAGACAATAATTTTAAGTTTAAAAATTTGTTTGAGATAAAACAATTGAGGACCCCAATTCTATAAGGGGCTCTACGCTTGAAGGCACTCTCACACCTTTTTGGCTGCCTGCCTGCCTGCAGGTTACCATGGCAACGCACGAGTGTGAGTGAGACAGAAAATTTGAATATTCAAATTTTTAAATTTTCTGTCGTACTCACTCTCATGCGTTGTCATGGTAACCTGCAGGCAGCCAAAAAGGTGTGAGAGTGCCTTGAGGCAGCCGCCTTGCGACCAGTCACGTGTTACAAAATTGGAACAAAATAAAATTTAAAATTTTTTAAAAACTCTATCCTAGTATAAAAATCCTCACCTTTTTTTCTTTTGCTATTTTTTTTATAAAACAAATATTAAAATTAATAGAGGCAAATAAGTAGAAAAATTTTTTACGATAATTTAATGAACTATTAAAACATAACATTTTAAAGACAAACAACAAAAAAAGACAAACAAATTCAAAAAAAATTGTTATTATTTTATATTAAATAACAATGAAGTTTTAATTTTGAAAATATGTGTTTTTCAATCTTCTAATGAAAAAGTTATCGAGGGAATTTTCATTCTGGAAAAACTTCTCGCGACAAAGTTTTTCCTTAAATATTAAGGAAGTTTTTCCAAAAGTTTGGAATTAATTCTCTAAGATATAAAGAAGTTATAAGGAAAATAGTGAAAAAATATTTTTCCTTTTCCTTCAGCAGCAGCCATGACACCTAACGACTTAGTTTCTTCAGGGGCGTTCTTATTAAACAATTCGCCCTTATTATTTTTCCTTTTTCAAAATGTATAAATACTGATTTCAAATATAAATATAGTTCTTAATAAGTATATTGGACATATGTTTGTTTATTAACAAAAATAGAATACAAAAAATATATTTTTTATAACAAATAAATAATTATTTTTGCATGCTCGAATGTAGGTATGACCTAAAATGTGTAGTATACGTAACAAATTGTCGCAAACCATATTATAAATATAACCTCACTTTTCGAATGTCAACTCGGACTCGCTTCATTATCATAACAGATAAATTATAATAATGTCTTAGGCAACTCAGATAAATAGATCTACTGGTAAATATAAAGAGATGAAATATTCTTTAAATAATAATTTATTGCACTTCAGTTTAATAATTTTTATTAAGCTAATAAGTGTTTTTATATGTCTTTACAAAGCAATAATCAAACGAATCAAACAAAAATTCAAAGACTAAACACATAGCGGGAACCAACTAGATTGAGGTTATATTTTCTTCTGACCATTACGAGTGCCTACGTCATGAAATGTAACAAACGTTGTGTAGCAAACTGGACAAGTTGTATACACATGTAACATACGTAGCAAACTTAGGTAACATACATGAAGTATGTTACTTACCCATCTCTGCATTTAAGGAAAAACTTTGTCGCGAGAAGTTTTTCCAGAATGAAAATTCCCTCGATAACTTTTTCATTAGAAGATTGAAAAACACATATTTTCAAAATTAAAACTTCATTGTTATTTAATATAAAATAATAACAATTTTTTTGAATTTGTTTATGATTGTCGTCATTAATATCCAGATAGCACGGAAATTTGCAGCAAGCTTGCGGCAAGTTAACCGTGCAAGCTTGTCTGAGCTAGCGAAATGTCCCACCCAGGGCAAACTTGCCGTGAAAGCTTGCTGTAAGATTTCCAGGAAAGGTTGCTGCAATCTTGCCATGAAAGATTGCTACAAGATTGCTGCAAGCATACTAAGAATGATTGCGGCAAGGTTGCCGTGAAAGATTGCTGTAAGCTTGCTACGTAAAGTTGCAGGAGAATTTCAACAAGCTTCTGGAAAGGTTGCTGCAAGCTTGCTGCAATTTTTAAAAAATACATTTTAAATTAAAAAAAATTTATTTGTTTTTTTTTTAAATTTGAAAATCCTTGTGACGTTTATTATTATTAATTATGTCCTGTTTATTTTCATTTGGAAACTTAAAGAGAAAATTTTCGAAACAAATTTGAGGGTACTGGGAATTGAACCCGGGTTCGACAGACCCTAACCGAGAACCTACTCGACCAACTATCAGAGAATAAAAAAATCTTGCTCTTAACCCTCGTTTTTCAACTCATAAAAACAGTCGAGGGTTAAGAGCAAGATTTTTTTATTCTCTGATAGTTGGTCGAGTAGGTTCTCGGTTAGGGTCTTTGGTTAGTGTCTGTCGAACCCGGGTTCAATTCCCAGTCCCCTCAAATTTGTTTCGAAAATTTTCTCGTTAAGTTTCCAAATGAAAATAAACAGGACATAATTAATAATAATAAACGTCACAAGGATTTTCAAAATTTAAAAAAAACAAATAAATTTTTTTTAATTTAAAATGTATTTTTTAAAAATTGCAGCAAGCTTGCAGCAACCTTTCCAGAAGCTTGTTGAAATTCTCCTGCAACTTTACGTAGCAAGCTTACAGCAATCTTTCACGGCAACCTTGCCGCAATCATTCTTAGTATGCTTGCAGCAATCTTGTAGCAATCTTTCATGGCAAGATTGCAGCAAGCTTTCCTGGAAAGCTTACAGCAAGATTTCACGGCAAGCTTGCCCTGGGTGGGACATTTCGCTAGCTCAGGCAAGCTTGCACGGTTAACTTGCCGCAAGCTTGCTGCAAGTTTCCGTGCTATCTGGGTAGTATAAATTGAATAAAATGCACAAAATTTCAAAGAAATCCATCAATATTTGGCGAAATTACGACGAGTTATGTTTTAAAAGTCCATTAAATTATCGTAAAAAATTTTTCTACTTTTTTGCCTCTATTAATTTTAATATTTGTTTTATAAAAAAATCGCAAAGGAAAAAAAGATGCGGATTTTTATTTCCTACAGGATAGCGTTTTTAAAAAATTTTAATTTTTAATTTTATTTTACTCCATTTGTAGACCAACTGACAGGTCGCAAGGCGGCTGCCTCAAGCGTAGTGCCCCTTATAGAATCGGGGACCTCAATTAACGCGATTATTTTAAAAAATACTAAAAAAAATGTTATTAGGAAGCAATAAATTACAATTTTATAAGCTTTCAAAAAAGAACAATGTAAAGAACATAGTTTTAAAAAATCTTTAATGCAAAAAATATTACAATGTAATAATACAATGATTATATTGTGCTTACACGATGTAGGCGAATAATGCACAGATATATATGTGAAGGTATCTCTCTCTCTCATACACATGTGATTCACATAAGTTAATTATTTCTTATGTTAATTTGTTTTAATTTATTATTAAATTATTATTATTATTATTATTTTTATCATTATTTTACGATTATTCGTCCCTTTCTTGTGAAATTGAGAGTCGTGATACAGATGCAACGATATCCGCTTATTCTACTTTGTTTTTGCACTAAAATACAATCATATATATAGCGCTAAAAAGGAGAAATTCATTTTTTTTTAGAAAAAAAAATTGTATGCATCCGATTAGATAAAATCTATAGATATTAAATATATGTATATTTTCCAAAAAATCTTCGAAGAAGTCCAAGCTTATATAAATAATTATCTATAAATAATCTGCAAACGTGATTTAATAAATGTGCACACTATATGGGTTAATATTCTATCTTCAGGAAATTTTCAGAATATATTTTTAATTTACATTTTATCATAACGTGAAAAAATTACTTCTTTATAAAAATCATTGTTTTTTCGTATTTTACGTATTGAAATCAATTTCATTTTTTAAATATTTTTTATTCAAAATTTAAAAAAAAATTTTTTCTTTGTTAATAACAAAAATTAACGTATATGTGTCATTCCATGAGTTTTTTTTAATCACTTTTCGGAGTATAACCTTTCCAAATTAAATGAAACATTTTTTTTAATAATATTTATTAATATAAAGGTCCAAAATAATCACTTTTTAAGTAAAAACAATTGTTTATTTAAAAAATACAACAATAAAATTAATGAAATAAAAATTGACTTTTTTTCTGCACCACCAAATAAATTGGTTTAAAGATTAAAATTTTCCTTATTTTTCAAGCTTTAATATAGCACAAGAAAAATGAGGAGATTCGAAATAGTTAACTCACAATTTATTAAACAATGTTTGTTTTCTTTTTTTGTATTTTATTTATTATGAAACGTCTGCTATAGTTGCGCGCGACGTTCGGAAGTTGTCGCTCTCGTTATTGAGCAGAAGCTGATTACACTAGCGTAGTATTAAAAAAACATGTGTGAAAAATGAGGGCGCACTCACACCTTTTGGCTGCCTGCCTGCCTGCAGGAGTTGTCATGGCAACGTGTAGAAGTAACAGAGAGAGAAAATTCAAATTTGAATTTAATATCTCTGTTACTCCTTCACGTTGCCATGACAACTCCTGCAGGCAGGCAGGCAGCCAAAAGGTGTGAGTGCGCCCTGAGATTTTTCATCCTTCAAAAATATTTTTTATGATTTTTTACTGCAAAGTAGGTAATTAAAAACCATGGAGTGTAGTATAAGGAGACCGAACGACGTACATTGAAAGTGGACCAAATTTTGGTAACCGCTTAGTGTCATGAAAATACGTAAAGAAACACAAGCGCTCTCGAGGGAAGTATATGTAAACAGTGGGAAAAATTAGAAGTACGTTGAACATAATCCAAAAATCACTGTAAAAAATAGTTCTGAATTTAAATGTTCGAACAGTATAATTACACGATTCTGTAAAAATTATTTTACATGATTATGTAATTTCACTGCACTCAACATGACAATATTTATCATTTTGAGGTTAGAAACACAAGATTCTGTAAATTCACAGTATTATGAAGAGCGATTTTACATAGCACTGTGAAATTTCAACCCGATTGTAAATTCACTCTGCTGGGCTATGATTTTTTTTCCTCGCATACAGTATGTATTTCATTTTACAGACGGGTGTAAAATTACATTTTTTGTACAATTTACATTTTGAAAATGTAAATATCAGGTTTTTTGTGAATTTACTCAAAAAAGCAATTTTTCATGTGTATAAATTTACATATGCCCTTAGAAAAATACATTTATCATTAAATTTCTTTAATATTGGAATACTGGAATCTTTTATAAATGATTTCGTTAACACTTATAACTATACTATAATTTATATTAATTTATTTTGTATAACGCTTGTTACCAAAGTGACTCGATTTACAATTAGTTGAGTTTACGCGGCAGTTTAATCACATTACATTCAGATAGAGAGTTTTTAAAATTTACCCCTCTTTGTAATTTTACAATCGCTTGTGAATTCACATAACCTCAATGTCAAGTTACTATAGCATGTAAAAGTGACACATACGGCATAGGTTTTTTTCCTCGCATACGCAGCCTGTGATTTTACAGAAATTTTTTTTACAGTGATACTTATTTTTATAACTTTTACAATGGCAGACTGTCCAGCTGAGTTTAACACAATCAGTAGCGCTAGTGTTCCATTACGTAGTTTCATGACACTAAACGGCATCTAAACGGTTACCAAAATTTGGTCCACTTTTAACGCAGATTCAACATGGTCGTTCGGTCTCCTTATACTACTCCATGTTAAAAACCATTCAATGTGATAAAGGCATGAGCAGAATAGAAAGGTAACCGGAATCGTAATCGTAAACGCAACCGGAAAAATGTGTTAGAGAAGGACAAACAATATGTCTGTCCTTCTCTAACTCATTCTTCCGGTTGCGTTTGCGATTACGATTCCGGTTACGTTCCTATTCTGCTCATGCCTTAACCTGTTTAAGTTTCGTTCAATGACAACATAACCTCACTTTTCACACAATATGTTTTCTACAACGCATGAGCTTCTGCTCAATAGTAAATAAAATACAAAAAAGAAAACATTGTTTAATAAATTGTTAATTAACTATTTTGAATCACCTCATTTTTCTTGTGCGGTATTAAAGCTTAAAAAATAAAGAAAATTTTGATCTTTAAACCAATTTATTTGGAGGTGCAGAAAAAAAGTTAATTTTTTTCATTATTGTTGTATTTTTTAAATAAACAATTGTTTTTACTTAAAAAGTGATTATTTTTGACCTTTATATTAACCTTTAAACTGATACGTGCCGAAAAATCACACTAACTGATTTCACCGGTCTGTCAGACCGCTATTCCTTTTTTATGTTATTTTATTGATTTTAAATTTTGTAAAGTCAATTGTTGTATATATTTTTTATTTTTTATGATTAAAAAGTCAATTTCTATATTGTTTCGTTTTAATTTTTTTATTTTTACATAATTTAGAACGCTTTAAAAAAAAGTTATAAGCGATGAAAGTTTTAATAGCGGTCTGTCAGACCGCTAAATCAGTTTAAAGGTTAATAAATTGAAAAAAAATGTTTCATTTAATTTGGAAAGGTTACTCCAAAAATTCATTAAAAAAAACTCATTTAATGGCACATATATTTGTTATTATCTTAATCGCGATGAAATTAATTCAAAAGCACAAAGTGAGATCCAAAGCATTTTTTTTTTCAAGAGTACATTCGATCTTTTAAAACACAAGAAATATAAATATATCTAAAAAATTTTCTTGTATTTTTTTTTTTTAATTGACACTTTTTTAAAATTGAATATACAAAATTCAAAAACAAATAATTGTAACTCAATCTCTCTATTTTTCAGTTTTGAGGTTATATGTTACTTAAAAAAAAAATGTTTTTTCTATAATTTTTTCAAACATTGAAATGGAAATTTTATTTTACAAAAATAGATCAAATATAACACTCTCTAGAAACGAAATTTTCATTTTGTAAAAAAAAAAAAAAAATGATAAAATGTTTATTATTAATAAACAGAAATTTCCATCGGACAATAATTTAATTATTGCGTTGGTTTATCACTGGAGAGGAGATATTAAGGGGGCGGAGGGACTTCACCCTAAAAAATTCTAATAATTCGGGTGATAAATAATCAAAGTTTCTTGCGTCTCAATAGTCTTACAGTTTCTAGATCAGGTATATCTTAATATGTACAGTCAATTTATTAGTCGACTAGGTGCGGACAATCGATTATCCGATCAAAGTCTTATAATAATGCAGGAGGGGCATTTTCACTTGAAAATTAAATACAATCTCAAATTTTCTATATTTTGTTACAAAATTTTATTTTTTATTATATATAGAATATTTTCAATTAACACTTTTTTTTCTTTTATAAATTATTTTAATTTGTATTTAAAAAAAAAAAAAAAAAAAAAAATTATAATTTCTTTGCCAGTCGAAAGGAGGAAATTTCGAGACAATTTTTGAAATTCAAGTGAAATGTCCCGATGGTACAATTGAAATTTGAAACTTAATAGATACAATTGTATATAGTTTTTTTTCTTTCTTTCTGGGAAACTCCCCATAAAAATAACTATCAAACAAATCATTTAAAAATAACTTACATATCTAGAGTAACAACAACAGTACCAGAAAGCAGACAGATTGTTTTTGTCCTCAGGGTACGTCGCCTCTTATTATTTTTTTTCCCTCTCTTTCTTTCTCTCTCTCTCTCTCTCTCTCTCTCTCTCTCTCTAAAAATGTCACTTTTTTTTCCTTCTCATCTCAGAAAATCATCATTCTTTATTACTCGCGCGATATTCGGCAAAAATTGCTAAAGCGAAATGTATTTACAGCACACTCGAATATAAAATCGAATCATCGTTGCCAATTTGATTATAATATATTTATTTCAACAATATAACGATCAATTATTTTTCTAAACAGCTTTCTGAATATTTTTGTACAGACATTGATATCAATATAATAATCACACCATCAATGCTAAAAATTTTAACTTTCTTTTTTTTCTCTCTCTCTCTTTTTTTATACATATTACAATTATATAAAAATTATTTCTTTTTCTTTTTCCTAATATCAACATTACTTTATTATTTCCAAATGATATATCACAAATATTCTAATTAATTTAAAAAAAAAATTTTTTCCTAATTTATTTTTATATATATTTTCAAAAATAAATTCTAAATTTTTTTTTAACAAATATAACCTAATTCAAGTATATTTACAATAAGAAAGCTGGTTTTTTTTAAATTTTATTTTAATAGAAAAAAAAAACTAATTATCGAAATTTAAATAGAAATTTTTTTTTTAACTTAAATTTTTCCTTTTTATTTTCTATAAATCATCAAATTAAAAACGTTGATTCGATAGATTTCGAGTTTTATTATAAATATATATTGATATAGCGATGAAACTACTTGTCAAAGATTAAAACATTCGTGATAATGGTATTTGTCTGCTGTCCGATATGTCAGGGCCCTAAAAAAATTTTGTGTACACAAAATTCGATATTTAAATTATATTCAATTATTTGTGACGTTATTTCAAAGATTATTAGGTACACTCGATTTTTCATATATATTATGAATTATTTTCTTATATGTATTAATAATGAATATACAGAAAATGGAGAAGCGCTTGTCGTATGACGTTTTTATAATTTGTATTTTTGTTCTCTTTTATTTTTTTTTTCTTTATTTGGCACTGTCGAAACCCAGCATCACACAAAAATTAATCATTTAATAATAATCAATTAAATATTTTTAATTATTATTAATTTAATGTGCTTTTTATTAAAAATGATATTTTCTAGTTTAAATAGTTAAAAATTTGTATTAAACTTCGTTTCGAATTTTTTTGTATTTCATTATAATAAAAAAGAGTAACAATTTTTAACTTCCCCCCCCTCTTTTCACTTGATTTCATATATAGTATATTCTATTTTTACTCTTTCATTCCTTGAAGAATTACCTAATTGAAATTTTTTTTTTTTTAAGAAAAACAAAAAAACGTATTTTTTAATCCGGAAGACTCATTGAAACTGGGTGACATTCGCATTTTGTTTTTGTCTTTGAATCATACTTTTCAGTCTAAAAAAAAAATGTAATTTACTTAACATTTTAAAAAGTGAAACAAAACATTTGGTTTTAAACGAAAAAAAAAAAAATCTTCTTTATTTTTTTTTATTTATTTTTGCAGAAAATTGTTAAATGAAAAAAATTTCAATTAAAACAATTTTTTTTTTTTGGTTCTACTGTACAAAATTTTTTATAAAAAAAAAAATAAAAGTTGATGCCGTGTTTATGAAAATAAAAATGAATTTCATTCGGCGGCGCTTTAACAGTCCTAGAGAGATTACGTATTATTCACATTTACAAAATTTGTTAGGCAGTCGCGTTTACATTATATTCATGGCTTGGAGACATTATTGCTCTCTGTTAAATCGAGTTACTTTTGTCTTCATATATAAAAAAAAAAAAAATTAATAATTACGTATCTAGGGCCTCGCGTAATGATTACTTGAAACGTATGTTACGTATTATTTATTAATATTATATTAATTTAGGTAAATAGATTTCTTTATCATTTGTCTCTGGTTGTGCAGTGTTTACGAATAACAATTCTGCGAAATCTAGATGATTTGCCTGCGGAATCTCAAGAGAATCATTTTGTAAGCTAGGAAATTGATGCGAGAAAGAGAAAAAAAATTTTTTTTTTTCATTTTTTTCTTTCAATTTCTTTGTTTTTTTATTTCCATTTGCTTACATCATTCATCTGATAAATTCCTCATGGCATACAATCGGCTAAACGCGATTGCATCTACCAGGTACATTTGTAACAGGGTTCTTCGATTTCATTACACACAGAAATTTTCAAAAGAAAAAAAAAAAAAAAAAAAAAAAAAAAAAACGAGAAAATTTCTTTGGCCAGAATTACTTTTTTCTATTAGAAAAAAATTCCTTCTCCAAATGATACGTGTTTATAACAATCAATGGGGAACATGATTTTAATTATTTCCCAACGGATTAAATTATAAATATTATATATATAATATATTCACTCTCAAAACTTATCGATATTATTCTAATTACGTACTCGCTACGGATAATTAATTTATTTTATCATTTTTCATTGAAAAAAAAAAAAAAAAAATTCAAATTTCGTTGAAAAATTAAAAAAATTTCTTTTTATACAATTTTTCCATAAAAAATACAAAAATTCATTTCAATAAATTTATCAACAATCATTAACATTAAAAAAAAAATGAAAAAAATTAAAATAAATATGTAAAAAAAAATTAGATGTAAAACTTTCTTGCAAAATTGATTATATAAAATATTTTTGAAAGTTTTATCAGAATTAAAATAAATATATATGTATATATAACTATATGTACAAAATTATTTTTTCCATCAAAAGAAAATAATTTCTTTTTTGTAAAAAACAAAAAAAAAAAAAAATTCTAAAAAACTAATGTTAGCACTCAAAAAAGACAAACGTCACAAAATTGAATAGATTGTTATTGAAAAGAAAAAAAAGAAATTACAAATGGCAAGAGTTAACAGACTAAAACTGTTAAATTCTTAAATTATTCAAACATAGAAGATAAATTCTATTCTGGCCTCCGAGAACACTAGAGTATTATAACAATTCATCTATAAGGCGAGAATTAATTAAAAAAAAAAAATTTAATCTATAATTCAGGATCAAAAATCAAATATTAAAATTACATTTCAAAATTTTCTCTTAAAAAAAAAAAGCAAAACCCATTATCACATATTTTTTTTATCATCATCATCATCATCATCATCATTGAGAAAAAAGTGTAATTTCAATCGCCAAAAATATCGACTTTTCCCCATTGATATTGTTTTTCTTTTTTTTTTTCCTTTTTTGAAAATTATGATCCACAAAAAGCGTGGTTGTGCAATTCAACTAAACTACAATATACAGGGATTAACTACATACTGGATTCCTTTGTGATGATTGAATCGTTGTTATCAACTCTGATTAATGTTGATGAATTTAAGACAAGTAACCTGCTTAATGTAGCTACTCTCTCCATCACACATGACGCAGAAAGACGCGCCTCAGCATCATGATCCCAACATTCTTCCATTGTGTCACAAATTGATAATAGACCCTGAGAAAAAAAAAAAAAAATGAAAACACAAATTTTACTTCTCAAAATAATATATATTTAATATTTAATAATCTCCAAATAATATTTATTCATTTGACTTTTATTTTCTCATCTATATTTGAAAATTAATCAACTTACACGGTTACCACAAAAAAAAAAAAAATACAATTTTCAATTTATCTGACATCAAAAAAATATTCCCTAACAATAAATTATAGGTGGTTTTGAATTTTTAAAATGAAAGACAAAAAGATTATATTAGAAATTTAATAATTTAAAGTTAGAAAAATACATTTTCCTACTATATTTCACTTTTTTCACAAGAATTTAATTAATATTTAAATAAATTGAAACATAAATCAATTAAAATTTGGATAAATTAAAACGGAGTGCCAATTAAAACTCAGATAATTTGAAAATCAATTAAAATTTAGATAAATTAAAATTCAAACAAATTTAAAACTTAAATCAATTAAAATTTGGATAAATCAACATTAGAGTAATTTTAAACTTAAGTCATTTAAAATTTGAATAAATAAAAATTTATATAATTTGAAACATACATCATTTAAAAATGATTAGAAATCGTAATTCGAAAAAAATTTTAAACAAATAAATCAAAAATTTGGATGAATTAAAATTTAGATATTTTAATACTAAAATCAATTAAAATTTGGAACTAATTGAAATTTGGATAATTTGTAAAATAAATCAATTAAAATTAGTACAAAATGGAAATTCGCACAATTTTAAATTTAAATCAATAAAAATTTGGATAATTTGAAATTTAAGTCAATTAAAATTTGGTCAAATTGAAATTTCATGAATTTCAAGTTTCGATCGATTGAATTTACATTTGATTATGAAATTTCAATTACATAATATAAATTTGTATTGATCAATAAAAATTAGAATTGATTGAAATTTTGATCATTGGAAATTTAAATTTAATTGAAATTTGGACGAATTAAAATTCGAATAAATTCAAATTTGGTTAAACTGAATTTTGAATTGATTCAATAATTGATGATTGATTAGAATTAGAATAATTTTAAATTTAGATATTGATTTTTTTTTCTAACCTAGTTCCAATGTTAATTTTGTTAATTTAAAAAAGTGTGTGAAATATGTATAGAAATTTCTAATTTAGTTAATTTTATACTACACAATACTTGTTATGAATTGATATTTCTATTTTTAAAAAAATCTAGATAATTTAGTAAAATAATAAAATTAATAAATTTGTCATATTATTACTTACCGGATGTTTTCGCCATGTTTCTAAAATAAGAGGCCTTTCTTTTTTATGCACAACACTTTCCTGCATATCTTCAAGAGTGGGATGAAGTCCAACTTCCTCCTCAAATGGTAACCTATATTCTCCAATTGGTCCCTAAATAAAAAAAAAAAAATTTTTTATTGAAAATCCAAAATGAATTTATCGTTTAACGAAATATTTTTTAACAATCAATTTTTCTTCAATTAATAAATAATTTCTTTTAATTTTCTTTAGCGAATTTTCTTTAATATTAAATAAAAATATTCTTATAATATTTTTATTTAAAATAATGTTTTTAAAATAATTTGGAGTTATATTCTAAATATATGTAAAATTAAAAAATTATTGTAATGCTCTTGAATAAAATAATAATCTAATTAACAGGCTTAATTACAACAAAAAAGTCACATATGTTATAAAAATAAGTCAAAATAATCGCATTCATTATAAAAAGTCGTGCAATCCGAGGCTTGGATTTTTATTAAATATCCCATTATTCGAGTTTCAACATAAAATAGAGGAAATAAATGAAAAAAAGGGGAAATTTTTTAAAATAGAAGAAAAATAGGAGAAACACTGTGAAGTCTTGATTAATAAATAAAGATAAAAGAAGAGCAATAATTTGTTTTTCTAACTTACATCTTGTACTGTACAACGAGAGGCTAATTCCCAAAGGACCAAGCCACACGCATACATATCAATTCGAAGAAATGAATCCCTAGTAAAATTAATTGCTCCCTCCAAAACCTCAGGAGCCATGTATCTCCGAGTGCCAACCTGAAATTGAAAAATGAATAAAATATTTAAATAAACTTTTACAATAATTTAAACCAGAACAATTAACAATTAACCATTTAAAATAAAAAGCAGAAATAAACAGAGAAAATATATGAATAATAGAACAATAAAAGACAAAAAGTACAATATCTATTTTGAGAAAAATAATTTAATAATTTACCTGTCCATGCGTATCTCCGCACGGTTTTCCAGGATGAAATATTAACGCTAATCCAAAATCTGCTATGCACGCGCTCATATCAGCCTTGAGAAGAACGTTTTTAGACTTAAAATCTCTGTGAGCAACAGCGGGTTTATATCCGTCCGCTTTATTAGCCGGAATCTCCTCGTGAAGATGCATCAAACCACTAAAAAAAAAAAAAAAAAATTATAAATTATATTTCAATCACAAAAAAATTTGGAAAACCTAACTACTATGTATGTTCGATGGACAAAATTTTCAATTGTTTCCCTATTTTGTTTACGTTAATAAAATCAGGGTGGCCACTAAAATATACGAATAAAATTAAAAAATTTTTTCCCAGTTTAAAAAAAAAAAATATTAACGTTTTTTAAATTGAGATTTTATCACATAATTTTAAATTAGTCACTGTATTTTAAATGTAAAACAAAAAATGCAGCACTAAGGAAAATATATATTGTTTAATTCTAGTATTAAAATGATAATCATTTTGTTTAATATCGTTTCAAAGTTGAAGGGTAGAATGACAAAAGGGGTCAAGCGCCAATTTATCGAAAATGAGGTTTTTGCATAAAAAAAATCAAGAAAATTCATTTACACATTTCTGTAGAAGGATTTCCTTTTTTATTGCGTATTTAAATCAGTTTTTAATAAAAATTAAATTAATAAAATAGCCTCAAATTTACTTTATTGCAACCTGATTGAAACACAAAAGAAAGTGGTGAGTCAATAATATTATCAAAATAAAAAAAAATATTATTTTTTTAGGTTTTATTTTAATATTTTATTTTAATTTTATTTTAATAATATTTTAATTAATAAAATTAATAATAATAATAATGTATTTTTAATTTTAAACAATTTTAAAATCATTTTGTTATTAATTTTTAAATATTTTTATGGTTATACTAAGTGAACAATTGAATTTAAAGATGAAAGTATTGCTCAATTCCAAAGCAAGCAATTAATTCGTAATTTTCTTGAAAACAAACAATTTTTTAAAGGAATTTTTTTTTCTATTCATTTCGTCGATTCCATAGAAAGAAACTAATTTTCCAGTTTTTCTTTAAACTGTATATTTTTTTTATAATTAATGCTTAAAGAAAATGTGCGCAGTTGATATAACCTCAAGGCACCACAGTTTTTTTTAATATTATCGTTAATATGTAGGTTTATTTCAACAAATTGTTGTTTATTTATTAAAACATACTAATATATCGAAACGGTTTTCTCAGTTTTTTTTTTAAATGACCTGCAAAATTTTTAATAATGTTTTTTTTACTTCCTGTAAAAACAGTGAATTGGCGCTTGACCCCTTTTGTCATTCTACCCTTCAGTTATAAAAACAAAAAAAAATTTAATTGCACTAAATAAATATTAAATGAATTTACCGAGCCATAGATTCAGCAATTCTACACATTTCAGGCCACGTGACGACATTCGCTTTTAAATAATCGCAAAGTGAACCCTTATCGTGATAAGAAGTAATGAGCCAAAATTCAGTTTGCAAATTGTCGCCTCGTTTTTCAATGCCAATAAAATGAAGAATATCCTCGTGATCCATGTGAGCGAGTTTAAAAATTTCTTGTTCAGTTTGCCATGATTGTTTGTCTTGTACAGGAAACACTTTTACTGCAACAACATCACTTTTGAGCTGAGCCTTCCACACCGCTCCAAATCGACCTCGTGCCTTAATTTCAAGAAGTTGAATTGGCCGCAAACCCAAACTCGGCGATGGTTGCGGCAATGGCAATGGTTCCAGAGTTGGAACCTTAAAAAAAAAAGAAAGTAAATTATAAACAATCCTCAAAATTTTTTTTTTTTTTTAAATTAAAAATAAATATGTATTTAAATTCCACAAAAAAATACAATTAAATAATTAATTAAAATTCAAAAAGTTAAATTTTCTTTTTATTAAAAAAATTTTTCAAACCGATTGATTTGAAATGAAGGGGACTAAAAATTCAGCTTTGAAATGAAAATAGTTAAGAATGATTTGAAATGTTTTTTTTGAGAGTTAATTATTTAAAAATTTAAATTCGGCTGGGAAAAAAAAATTTCTCTTGAAACTTTTGTAATGCATTTAAAAAAATAATCTCCTTAAACAATTTTAAAACTTTGCAATTTTACTATAAAATAACTTTCTGCTTTGTATTTTTTATAATGTTGCTTGAATAATGAATTTCTTTTTTTTTCAAATAAATAAATATAAAAAACATATTTACCTCATTGAAATATCCGAGTTTTCTTCGACGATAATACCAGTACATAATAGGCAGTCCAGCTACCACAAAGAGCGAGGGAATTGACACCGCTATCATTAGTATTATTACTTGCTCATCGAAAGTCGATACCGGCTCGTATTCTAAACACAATGAAACATTAGAAATTATTTACTATTTTTCTTCATTAATTTATTACATAAATTATATTCTAATTATTTTTAATTGAGAATGAAATAAATCATTTTTTTTTTTAAATAAACTTTTATTACCTTGCACTGGGGGAGGAGGCTCTGTAGGCTGTGGATCCCAAGTAAAATTTTGGTTGCACATGTTGCCATCGCAGCAGCAGAAAAGCATTTTCTTTTTTACATCTGACGTTTTTTCCACGCATTGTGGCTTGTCGTAACAATCTCTATTATCTAAAAAACATCCCTAGAAGCAGAAAAAAATTCTATATTTTTAAAAAACTATCATTGTTTCTAAAAATGTAAAAAAATTGATCCATTTTCATTTAAACAATTTTTATTAAATTATAAAATTTTTTCATTTAATTCAAATCAAAAAAAAAAAAAAAAAAAAAAAAGGATTTTAATTTTCAAAATAGAGAAATAGGTAATAAATTAATACAAAGAGAATTTCTTTTTTATTAATAAAATTTCAATTTTAAAAAATGGAAAACAAATATTAAAAAGGCAATAAATTCAAATTATATTTTAAAAATTTAGAATCGCATATCAATAATTAGTTGGTAATTTATTTGATAAATTTCTCGTTCATTGATTTTATTAATTTGAATCATATATGTAGAATATATAATTTACGGTAAAATTTAAATAGTGAACAAACCTTTAGGACAGCAGTCGACTTTTTCGTCTCTTTATCATATTTCCAGACAACGTAACAATGATTTCGTTTATCTGGTTCGCTTGGACTGCACTCTTCTCTTTCGATGCATCCTGGCTGTGATTCAGGGCAAGCTGTGCCATTATAAAATTCACAATATGAAGTACCCTTGATGTCGTGTCCTAAAGTCATACCTATCAATGGTGATAAAAAAAAATATATATATTATTAACATTTTTCTAGAAAGGATTATCAATGAACAAAATTTAAAATAAAATTCCAAGTTCAAGTTCGATTTCTATTTTTCGATAATATTTTATAAATATGAGCCAAAAGTTATGAACGTTCATATGAACGAATTTTTTTTTTTTTTTGCAACCTTTTTTAAATACGAATTTTATTAAAAAATATTGTTTTAAATATTTAAAAAGAAGTTATTTAATTTACTATTTTATTTTACAATGCCATCATAATTTTTTAATAATTTTCTAGATTGAAAAAAAAATTTCCTTTTATTTGAACGTTCAAAACTTTTGACTCATTTATAAATTCCAAAATTCAATTTTAATTTCTTTTTCTTTTATTCTTTTGCAATTATTATTTATTATTAATCAACAAATTATAAAAAAATATATTTTTTTTTTGGTAATTAATTTTATAATTTTTCATGTTTAAATAAAAATTAATTTCCAATTGTTGATCATAAATTTTGCTTACTTCAGTATTGTGAACGTGTTCAGAATTTCCAATTTTTTTTTTTGTAAAAAAATTAAAAGTAAAGAATTTTCTACTTTTCAAAAAATGATTTATAATTTCTTTAAATTAATAATTTTCATATTATCATAAGAATATTATCTATTTTGAAAAATTTATTCAAACTGAATTGCAATAAAAAAAAAAAAAAGAGAGAGAAGAAAACTTGATCTTTTTAGTGATGCAAAACAATTCCATGAAAAAGTTTAATGCATTCATATAATTAACAAGATCATAACAGTATCCTTGATACATTCGTTAATTTTACACATTATATATGAAATCGAACTTAAAAAATATTTTTTTCCTCACTTAATAAAATATTAATTAAATAAATAAATTACAAAAATTTTTCAAATTCTATGAAAATTAAAAAAAAAAATTGGTAAATTTTGCAAAAATTGAAAATTAATGTTAATTTATTATATACACAATAAAAGGAATGTGATAAGTATCTACATCAGAAATCAGAAGAAATCTCAAATATCGTCATATATATATATATATATAAGAATGATTGTTATTTCTAAATAACAGAATTTGATTTCTCAATCACAATAATGCACTTGTCTTTTTATAAGAAAAAAAAAAAAAAAAAACAGATAATGCCAAAGATAGACACTTTATCTCGAATTATTAAGCATGTTGCAATTGTTATTTGAAAAAAATTTCGACAACATCTAACATGACTTTTTTTTCATCAACTACCTACCTTTCAAAAAAAAAAATATATATTTTTTTTTTAAATTTCATATTACATTTTTTAAATTTAAAACTTTTTAAAAATTCTTTACCAAAATTTAAATAAAAGTATTTATACCATTTACAAATAGTGGTGCAAAGTTACAAATCTATAAATAAAAACATCAGAAAAACTTATTTTAAAAATCTATATCAATTAAAACAGTGATAAAAATAGATTTGTCGTCTAAATCGGAATTCTTTTCTTTTTCTCCCAAAAAAAAAAAAAAAAAATAAAAACATTTCTACTTTTCGAAAAATGACTCGAATTTCAAAAAATGTAAATAAATTATTAATAAATTGAACATTTAAAATTCTAGTTGTACGTTATCAAAAATTATTCTTTAAGAAGGTGAGGGGGGGAGGGAGAGAGAGAAAAAAAAATATCTAAGAAATAAGTAATTTATTTTTGATGAAGCGGGGAGATGAGAAAAGCTTAAATTTAGAAACATTGTCACAGTTCAATGTGTTTGTGTGTGTGTGTAAAAAAAAAGTATAGAGAATAACGGATAAGAAGCAGACTGAATCCAATTACCTAATAATCCTAGGAAGAGATATGGCAGTATCGTCACATACGCGGACATCGTGAATGGATCACAGAATCATACCAGTAATTTTGAGTCTATTAGCTATTAAGCAAATTGTAGTTTCATCCACCGACACATTCTCCTCCCTCTTTTTCTATATACACACTAATGCCCGTTGAACTCCGAAAAACGTATTCACTTCATCTTCTTCATTTTTCTTTTCACACACATAACTAAAATCACCACATCAATGAAAATATCATTAAATGACAATAATTGTCACACTATTATTACACTTTTCAATTGTTTTGAAACATTATCCCGTTGTATTTCAGCGAAAATTAGATGGAAATTGAACATTCTTGTGTGATCATTATAAAAATACACGCCAGACACGCACGAATCACAAAACAATAATATAGATAAACCTTTCGTACACAATAATTTTCATTGCTTACGAAAATAAATTTTGTGCAATAAAGTCCTACGACAATGGTGATTTTTTGGTGTGCGATTGGTTGGTTCTAATGGAATCGTCAAACGTGATTAGCTCAAAGGGAAATTCTTGCATTTTGATTGGCGAAAGTATTTGCCAATTGGATGTTACATTAAAGCGCAAATTTCAGATTTTATATATATGTGTCCTGACGCGGTGAAAGGGACCTTACGGTTCCAAAGCAAATTTCACAGGAGAGGCGCTCGAAGTGTAGCACGAAAATAGACATTTGAGTAGTGGGGACGTACAACTGCAAATCAGCACCACTGCTCACCACTACAACGCTACACTCATATGTCTGTGAGCATGCTACCTTCGTGCATCTTCGGCTCTACCATATCTTGTACCTCCCTACTCTTTCTAAGCTCTGATGTAAACATTGCCCTGGGCCCGGCAAATGGATTCAGTTTATATTAAAGTTAATTGATTAATTTTGATTGACAAAATAATACGTAAATAACTTGAAATATCTTGTTCGGATTTGTCGGATTAATTAGATGAGGGCGAGCTGATTAAGAAGCATCTCCATTTTTAAAAGTAATTTTGTGGTTATAAAAGTTGGATTTTTGACAGAAGTGGGGACAGACATTGAATCTATGTGTCAGTGGCCCAGAAGGTGGCGCCAATTCTAGCTAGTGGCCGCTGCTGAACTAACTTACCCCAAATTACTCCACTTTAAATCTTTAATAAAATAATTTCCTCACAATATTATTGCAAAAATAATATTCCTCTATTATTCCTCCAAATGCCAACTCGAAATACTTTATCCTTTAAAGATGAGAAGAAATTTACGAAACCCCTTTTTGACAATGTTTAAACATTTTTTTAATAATTATTTATTAATTCTCTGAAAATCGTTGTTATCAAATAAAATTAATTTTTATTATTTATTTTATCAACAGAGAAATTTTCAATTTTTACTTTTCTTACAACAGTAAAAATAACATTACTTTTGCTGTATAAATAAGTTATATGTCTTGAATTTAAAATATAAATTATTATTATTATTATTATACATTATTAAAATAATGAAAATCTAATAAATTGTTTATTGCAATTTTACTGGCTTTAATATGAGATAAATCCATTTTCCGGGCCCAGCGCAATGTATACATCAGAGCTTAGAACTAGTGGGGAGAGACAAGAAATGGTAGAGCCGAAGATGCACGAAGGAAACACGCTCACCGATATACGAGGGTAGCGTCGTAGTGGTGAGCAGTGGTAGTGGTTTTGCAGTAGCCACGAGGCGCCCGAGAATACGCGGAAAAGTACTTATGTTTAAAGCTATATAACACAATAAGTATTTGAAGGAGACAAATTTTAATTGTTGGAAATGAAAAAGCAACTCAAAAACTATCGATTGGTATAAAAAAATAAAAATCGATTTATTTAATCATAAGGTCCCTTTCACCGCGTCAGGACACATATTTTTTTTTACCTCAAATATTAAATATTTATATAAATTATTAAAAAATAAATTAATTTATAAAATAAAATAGTTTATAGTTCTATGTTACAATAAAAAAAAATAAGTAAATTAAAATAAATATTAAATTTTTTAAAACAATTTTACAGCCATCTGGTGGTGAGTAATCGAAACACTCTTGGAGGGAAAATTCAATTCTTTTACAAATTCAAACTTTTTTTTTTTTATTCATATTATTTAGCTTTTAGATATTTTAAATAATTCTTTTTATTTTGTATTTAATTTAACGATAGTAAAAAATAATACAAGAATAAGCATAATTACAGAGAAGCAATTGTAGGTGAATTTTTTATTTTTTCTGCTTCTTTCTCAGTATCGCAAAAATAATCAATAAAATAATTATATATGTTACCTATAAATAAAACCAAGTAAACTAAATCTCATTTGTAAGAATAATTGAATCTATAGTTGAATTAGAAAAAATGAAATAGTATGAGAAAATTCAATGATTTTCGAGAGAAAAAAAAAATTATTGCTTTCAGGTTATAATAGATTTTTGATAATAATCAAAAATGATATATAGGTACACCTAAATATCGAATTCATCTATGACATAATTATAATTTCTTGCACGAATTGAGTTCAAAGAGAAAACGTTTTTGTAATAAATTAAATAAGTGAAACAACGACTTTCTCCGCGCAGTTAAAATTTATCGCAGTTATCACTGTGTAGATAAAAAGCTTCGTCGGTATTAATATACTCAGAACTTTTTTTGATATATATAAAAAAATTTTCTGTCAGTGTTGGAATGCGATTATTAGACGTTGTTCAAACATTAAAATTATTCTCAAATTTATAAATAAATTAGAAAGAAAACAACATTAAATGTGAATAATAATAATGGCATTACGAGAAGGTGATGCAAAACCGGCAGCAATTATTTTGGGAGGTAACCTCAAAAAAAAAAAAAAAAAAAAATTTTTTTTTTTATCAAAGTGTCAAAAATTAGTATTTATATTATTAAATAGAATAACAATTGATTTTAAAGAAAAACATTGTTATTTTATAATAATTAGGTTGCGGGTTCATAGGACGTAATCTTGTTGAATATTTGCTTGATAATGAATTGGTCTCGTTCTTGAGGGTCGTTGATAAAGTTCCTCCACAAACTGCATGGCTCAATGGAAAACATAAAAAATTATTCGAACATCCGCTAGTTGAATTTAAAAGTTCAAATCTTATTAATCCAGGTAAATTATTGTCATATTTATTATTTTATCAAAATTTTTTTTCTATTTATTTGTTTAATTATGTTTTATAAAAAATTATTATTTTATGTCAAAACTATCGTAACTAGAATATTTTAAAAACGTATAAATTGATAAATTTTACTAAAAAAATTATTTTTACGTTTCAAAAATCAAAACATTTCTTTTTGGATATAATTATAGTTTAAAATTTCTATTAAATTTTTTCTTTTATACATTTTTATAGAAGTTACGTAAGTAAAAAATAAATTTTCTTTAAATTAAGAATTATCAAATTTAATAAAAAAAACGAATTTTATTTTTAAAAATATCGATTTTAAAAATTCAATTTTGCTAAAAGAAAAAGAAATAAAAGCTAATTTGAATTATGATCAATTTTTATCGCAGTTAATATTTAAATTTATTTTTTTAATCAATTATATAGTTATATGTAAATTAATTAATTACAAAATAATTTAATAATGTAGAATAATTTTAGACCTCAAATAATAACATTTAATAAAATTTTTTGAGTCTGATGACAACTTAAATTTCGGTGGTTTAAAATTTTATTGGTGTCTCACTTTCTTTAATATTAAATATTTAAGTATAACTTATTTATTTTTTTTATTCTTTTAATTTCTCATTTTTAGCTGGAACTTTAAACGTTTCTTGAAAAAAAAAAAAAAAAATGAAAAACTAAAAATTTTTGGAAAAACAAATTTTCTAACTTAAAAAAATTCGAATTCTAAAATTTTCAAATTACAATTTTGATAAAGTTAAAAAATTCTTCTCCTTAATTTTGCTGAATAACATTTTCCCAAAAATTATTATTAATAATTCCCAATCTTTAAAATCTTTTCCAAAATTTTTGTATTCGAAATTTTTGGCAAAAATTTTGATTTTTTCAGAAAAACAATAATTTTAATACAAATTTAAAATTATGTGGATAAAATATCAATTTAAAAAAATCTGGAAATTTTTTTTTTTTTTTAAAAAAACCCTCAAAAAGCTTTGAATTTTATTCGTAAAATTTTAGTGACCACTTATTTAATAAAAAAGAAAATAATAATAATAATAATAATATAAAATTATCAGTAAAATTGAATTAAAAAATATATAATTATGCATTCAATTCAGTTTCTTGCCAAAGTGCATTCGCCGCGGACATTCACATTGATTATGTGTTTAATTGTGCTGGTGAAACGAAAAGTGGACAAACAGATCCTATTTATAGAGAAGGAATTTACAAATTAAGTATGAATTGTGCTCAACAAGCTGCAAATATTGGTGTTGATCGTTTTATTGAAATTTCGTCTGGGAATGTGAATTCATTCGAAAAGGTTTATTATTTATTTATTTTTTTTACAAATAATTATTTACTTTATTTGAAAGAAATTAATTTTGAAAAATCTTTTTTTTATTTTTAGATTCCACATAAGGAAGATGATGCCACAGATCCGTGGACATTTACGGCAAAATATAAATTGCAAGTTGAATCGGAGATAAAAAATATTTCAAATTTAAAATGCACATTTTTAAGGCCCGCTATTGTCTATGGACCCGGCGATAGAAATAGTTTAGGTACAAAAAAAAAAAAAATTTTTAATAAACTTTTAATTTTTTGAAAATAAAACAAAAAAAAAATATGATAAAGTGAATAATTTTTTCTTTAGCTCCTCGATTAATTATTGGAGCAGTTTATAAACATTTAGGAGAAATGATGAAATTACTTTGGGGACCAGATCTTCATATGAATACTGTTCATGTGAAAGATGTGGCACGTGCCATTTGGCATGTTGCTAATAAAACTGAGGCTATTGGTCAAATTTATAATCTTGTCGATGATGGTAATTCCACACAGGGAACAATTAGTGCCATTATATCGGAAATTTTCAATATAAATCACGATTATTGGGGTATTGCCTTGTCAACTTTGGCGAAAGTGAGAAAACTGTTTTTTTTTTTTCAAAATATGTTCTCAAAATAAAGAATTTAATTTTCTAAAAAAAAAACAAAATTTAAATTATTTTAATATGGAAAAAATAACTTTTTTTTCTATTAAATTAAAATAATTTTACGGCAAATATAATAATATTAATAATAATTTTACGTACGTAAAGAAAATTTCTAAAAAAAATTTCAGTCGGACATGAATTCCGTTGTTGAGGAAATAAATGACAAACACATGGGTCCTTGGGCTGAAATATGTAAAGCAGATGGCATTGAAAATAGTCCTTTGTCACCTTATATCGACCAGGAACTTCTTTACAACAAACACTTGTATTTGAATCCCGGAAAACTCTCAGCCGACACTGGATTCAAATATCTTTATCCCAAATTGTCAAAAGATGCTCTCAAGGAAGTGAGTCGATATTGATTTTTATTCCAATCGTTTAAAAAAAAAAAAAAATTCAATATAAAAATCGAATTTTACCTAAAATTAAAATTGTGAAAATTAAAGCAAGTTATTTTATTATTTTTCATATATTTTTTTCCTAAACACAAAGTTCAAAAAATTTATTAATTAATTTATTATTTAATTTAATTATTTAAATTATTATTTATTAATATTTATTTGTTTTCAGGTAATTGACGATTTTATTGCAATGAATATTTTTCCTCACTCCATAGTCTTGTAAAATGGAATGAAACAAAGTTAAACCATGAGTCATTTCCCCTTTTTTTTGGCGTCCAAAGATGCAGAAGAAAGCATTTTCACGTTGTGCCTGAAAATTTGCATAATAACAAACGACAAAAAAAAAAAAAACACACAAACTTTTGATACCTGGAAGGTACGACGTTTCGCTTCGCGGACAGTCAGAAAACAAAGATATTTAACGTTTATGGCCTATTAGAAACGTTTGTGATAAAATAGTAAATAATGTACTTAATTTATAATATACATATATATGCTCCGGAACCTTTGAAAACAAATGGCACTAGTCAAACCCAAAGGTTTTTTTTTTTAGATATTATACAATATTAAAAATATTTCCCTGACAGTCTCGAGACTAAAATTTGCTAATGAAGATAAGGAATGAGATAGAAAAAGTCAAATCAAAACTTAGTACAACTATTTTCTTATTTTTATGTGAAAAAAAAGCAATTTATAATTTTTAAAAATTAATAAAAGTGTGTACAATTTTATTTTTGATACTTCGAATTTCAAAAAAAAATTAAAAATTTCTACGATTGAGAAACATTTTTAGATTTACGTGACTGGAATAGTTTTTTTTCACACTTTTTAAAAATTTTAAATTGCGTTTTAACTTGAAAATAAGAAAATATGAAGTTGAACTAACTTTTAAATTGACTGTTCATTCCATTTTTTTTTTTTTTTTTTTTTTAAAGAAATTATTAAATTACAGTAAAAATAAACAAAATGTTTCAAAAGAAAATAAAATTGTTCTATTTTTAAAACGGAATAAATAAAAAAAATTTATTAAATTACAAATAATAAACAAAATATTTCAAAAGAAAAGAAAATAGAAAAATTGTTTTTCTATATTTTAAAAATTAAATATATAATTAATTTTTACTATCTTTTCTTAAATTAACTTTTAGTCAAAGATTGTCGTGGATAAATTTTTATTAAGATGAAGTTTAATGGCTCGTTAATAATTATACAAGAGTCATATACCTGTATAATTAGTCTCAATAATTAAATACAATATTATATATTATATACTCTTTAATATTCAAAGTCTTCGATATTTTTCATTTCAACACAAAAAAAAAAATCGTTTATTAAAAACGAAAATTGCATAATGAAATTGAAATTAGTGGTAATAAAACGATTTTTACCAGCTTTTTTTTATTTAAATTATATGATACATTCCACAATGAATAGAAACGAAAGATCGCAAGATAAATTTAATGAAAATCAGAACCAACTTCTCAGATAACCAACTATATATCTATTGTTATCATAATATTGAACTTTAATATTATAATATTTAAACAAGGTAAAATTGTTAAAATTGTATTTGAAAAGTTCAATTAATTTTAGCACTATTGTGCGTATGCAAATTTATAATACGATGGCATTTATATACGAATTGTTTTATAACAAAAAATAAAGTATAATATTTTCTCATATAATAATGAGAATGAATAAAAAAAAAATCAACCATATAATAAAAGGCTATGTATAGAATAACATTTTATCTTTACATATATTGTTATTTTTCGACAGTAGCGATTGTCGAAAAAAATTTACTCTAGAGCTTGTACGATATTCATTTATAAATAATAAAAAAAAAAAAAGTTACCTGAGTACAAAAGTTATAAAAATTTTTTTTTCTTTGTTTACACTTATTTGATAGGACCTTTTATATCCTCTGACATACAATTGCCCAAAAATGGAGAAAAATTTTTGGAAATTTAAAAAATTTACGAAATTTTGAATTTGAAAAAAAAATAAAGGTAAAACAATTTTTAAAATAAAATTTAGCAAAAAATATATATTAAAAATTAACCATTGAAATAATAAATAAATATTGAATTAAATTTTTCGGTATAAATTTTGATTAATATTCTACAATAATTGGAAACTGATACATTTTTTTTTTTTTATTTATATTTTTGTGAAAATATTTGACTTTTTAAAATTAATGAAAGTGTTCGATAAATAAAACACAATGAAACAAAATTACTATGCAGCCTTAATTTTATTCAATCCTCATTACAACAAGATGCTGTGTTTCAGAAAGATCAACAATATTATTAAACATTTCGTGTATCGCTTTAATTTTTAATACTTCAAACAATAAGATTATAATTTCATGTATTTAATTGTATCGTAATATATTAAAATATATACTTTTAATATTCTCAGTAGGTATTTTTTTTTTTTTTTTTTTTTTTTTTATAAGTAATATAAATATGATTATATAAATATACATATATATTCCTTTCATAATTATTATCATATATTTATATAAACATAAATATATTATTCTATTTACAGATTTTTTTTTTTTTTTTTTTTTTTTGTGAATAATATATGTACAAATTAACTGCACCTTAGAAATGGTATTATAATCATATTACATATACAACTAATCAACTATGTGTACAATACATATTAATGTATAAGGAATTTTATGAAAAATAAATTATAAACGTTCAGCTGGTCAATAATATTTTCTACGGTTATAACGACATTAATACCAATTATTTAAAAACTAATTTCCCCGTGACACTTTTTTTTTTTTTTTTTTTTTTTCTTTTACATTTTCTATTTTCTTCATATTGAATTCCATACCGTAAATTAAAAATAATAAATCTAAATTCTGGATAATGCTGTGAAAAACATATCCTGTGAGGTAAATGGTGTAAATCTAAATAATAATGTCTAGTATAGGTACTGCGGTTAAGTTAAAGTTAAGTAATAAAAATCACTATCAAAAATGATTTTTATGGAGGTATTTGCATTCGACTAGAGTCGCCGTACAACAGAATTAATACTTTACTGGTCTATCGTGTCAAACACGATTTTATTTCTTTTTTTTTGGAAAGTTTCAATAATCTCTAAATTTTTACGATTTTCAATGATAATAAATTTTTCTTTTTTTATTTTGTTGAAATTATGAAGAAACGATATTTTTCCTTCTAATATAGAGAATTGAATTCTTTTTTTTCCACCAAAAAAGAAATATTTTAAATGGAATTTAAAAACAATTTTTGATGGAAAAATTGAAAGGAAAAAAAAAAAAATAAATAAATAAAAATCCGTATTTTAGAAGGAAAAATATTGTTTCTATAGGTTGAAAAAATTTTTATTCAATTTGAAAATTAATTAATAATTCTTTAAAAAATTTTCATTTTTAACATTTAAAAGAAATATTTTTACATTTAAAAGATAAGAAAAATAGAATTTTTATATTTGGAAAAAGAAAATCGTAATTTTAATTCAGAAATTATTATTTTCACTTTCTGGAATTTTTTTTCTGTGACAGGCGTCTATGGAATTTCGTGAAGAAACGGAAATTAAAAAAAAAAAAAAACCTGATCAGCCGTGATCAAAGGCTGATTTTTTTTTTTTTTAACAAAATTAATAATCATATTCAGTGTTTAATTAACTCTTAATTCTAAGTTGCTATCTATTTCTACTTTGTTCCTTCGGAAATACTTTGTATTCGATTTTTAATTCTCTGGTTCTAAGTTCTTATTTTGTTATAATGTATCTTATTCTATATATATATATATATATATACTATATTTATAAAATAAAAAGGAAATTTGACAAATTCATCAAGGAGCAATTATTATTTTCTCTTTTTTTCCACTCGAAAGTTATTCTTTTTAATAAAATAAAATTTTTAACTTTGAAATATTCAACTTCCAAATTCTTTTTTTTACAATAATTTCAAATATCTTTTTTTTTACAATTTTCGTGTTATTACATTTGTTTTTTTTCAACTTTTTTTTTTTTTTTTTGTTTGCCAAACCTTGATAAATTTCTCGAATTTGAAATAAAATTAAATACATTAATTGAAATTAAATCGAATAAATGTACAATATTCATAATCGATAATATTAATAACATTTTGTAACCTAAATTTTTACGTACAAATAACTTAATGAATATTAACATTAAAATTGAATTCAATAAAGTAGAAATAAAATTTTTTGAAAATTAACACTTTGTAATTGACATAAGGTAAAAAAAAAAATTTTTTTCACACTACAAAAAAAAGAAATTAGTATTTAATTTTATATTTATTTATTTAAAATAAATAAATTCCGTTACTGAAATATTTTTCAAAATTACAAAGTGTTAATTTAAGAAAAATAAGAATATAGAAACAAATGAGAAATCAGATCTGAATACTAATTAAGAATACCTAATTTGATGAAAATAAACCCCTTACTCTGTGAAATGTTTTTTTTTTTTTTTGTATTTTTTGTACAATTTTTTGTTTCGCAAACGGCGAAATATTGAGAATAAGAAAATTCTCAGAGATTTTTTTTTTTTTGAATTGATTTTAAAAATCTATCGATCGTCGACAAGTCTTTTAAAGCAGGAACAATATTTTATGTTTGAATCACAACAATTTTATTCTTTTCGAATATTAAAAAGAATTTTTTTTTTTTTAAATAATTTTCAAGAAAAAATACATATAAATAAAATTAAAAAATTCCTGTCATTGACATTGAAAAATTAAAAAAATTCAATATTATTAATAAAGTTATTAAATTTTTTAACCTTTTTTAAAACATTGTAAATAAATTTTTGAAATTAATTTATGTTGGATAAAAAAGATTTTTTTATAATCCTAAAACTATGTTTGCATTTAAAAATTGTTTTCAGAAATTATATGAAATTTTTATATAGTTACACTTTATTGAATCTTAATATTTAATTAATTCTCTTCACCTACTATATTAAATTGATGAATTAAAATTTTTTTTTTTAATACTAATAGAAAAATATATATATATCTATAAAAATATAAATTTAAAAATTGGAATGATATTTCAGATCGAATTTGATTCGAGAGAATGTATGATGTATTCGTTATTTGCAAATTTATCTGAAATTCACAAAATAATTAAAAAAAAAATTCAGAGATTAATAAAATGTTCACTAAACGGAACAAAATTTGTCTTTTTTTCAAATTATTACGTTCTATTTTCAATTCACATTTTTTTCTTATCTTACTTATTTCCTTTGTTTCATTTAGTCTTTTCTCATTTCAATTTATAATTTTTTTTTTATTATTTCTAAATTTAAATTAATCAGGAACTAGAATTAATTTTTTTTTTATTCTTAAAACTATTAATTAAAATACAAACTCACTCGATACATTTTTCTAAATGTGAATTCTATAAATTTGATTATGGTATAAATATTTTTTGACAATCGATAGAAATTTGTGATCAATTTTACAACAATTGAGAATTTTTTTGTACTTGGAATTTTTTTTTTCTTTTTTTAATGGTTTATCTTCATTATTATTAATATTATAAGAGTCCTAAGCACGGCGACCCTAAATTTTGTATTTAATATTAAAACAATATTCACTAAAAAAAAAAAAAAAAAAAAAAAAAAACTACAAAAGAAACTTATCACATCTGTGTTATTACATTGGAAATTCACAAAGTTTATAATAATGCTGAAGTGGTATCGAGAAACAAAAATAGAAATAAAAATATATTTTCTTTTTTGCTTCTCAAATACAAAATCCTAAACTATTGGGAAAAAAATATTTTAAAAATGTAGAAAAAATAAATTGGAAAATACGAAGGGGGGGAAAAAAAATTTGAGATTTAGTGATTTGAACAATGGAACGTCTATATAAATATTGAAATTATGCAATTATGGATAATTATATAAAGTTGTCTATAAGCGTAAATTTTTGCACGCGTTTCACTTCTTCAGGAGCAATGACTAACTATTTTTTTTTAATTATTATTTATTTTAACAAATCTATTACGATTATTTTATGTTTCACGGTTTGAATCTCGAAAATTTCGAGATCCCTCTTTTTTTTAAAAAAAAAAAAGAGAGAGAGTCTTTTATAAAATTCGAGGCTTTTGTTTTCTATTAGTCTTCTGTTGCAATAGTATTATTAAGAATATGAAAAGTAAAAAAAAAAAACAATCGAAGTCTGAATATGCAGTCTTTTCTGTTTGGCTTTCACAAGAAGATGTAATAACGGCAGTGCACATAAACTCAATATTATCAATTAGTTTATATGTTTAAAAAAAAAAAATTAATTAGTATTATTGAAAAAAAAAAAAAAATGTTTTTCATTTTTTCTGTCAACCGTTGTTTTTATCACCCATTGTTTTTCAAATCAGACTTTTTTTTTCATGAGATTATTAGGTATACTGGAATTTCATTACCGGTAGAAAGAATCTTATAAATATATAATTATTAAACCTTAAAAAACTTGAAAGAAAATTCCCTTAAAACGAGATATACAATAATTAATCTGCAATTAATTCACTAAGCAATAAACTGTAAAATTAACGCGTTAACTAACCATTGTAACATATTTTTTTTTCTTTTTTTACGTGCAAAAAAAGATTTGCTTATCAAAATACATTTTTTAAAAATTCTAAATAATAATAATTAATAATTAATAATTAATAATAATAGTACTAATAAAAATAATAAAAAATAAAGATACCAACAGCTTCACTCTCATAATAAAATGATAAAAATAATCGCATAATTTTCTCCTGCTCTACCAAAAGTGCATAAAATATTTAATGCAGTGCTCAAAGCTATTTTTAAAACAGACATCCCTTTATTTTTTACTAATGATTTAAAATTAAATTTTATTAAAAATTATAAAAATCCAGGAATTTCGATTAGAAAATAGGCAATTAAGAGAAATTCTTTGTTTTGTTCTTTTTTTTTTAAAATAACGAAAAACGAATCACACACACTTTAGACTTATTGTGTACATTTTGTGTAAAAAAAAGGAGAAGAAAGAGGATATTCAAAAATTCATTTATATTTTTTATGAATTTAAAAATATCCCCAAAGTTTGTTTTTGTTTTCTTTTTTTGGTCTGCAAATATTACGGAAACTAATTATGATTTTCGATTTCATCTTAAATTGAAAATTATCTTTGAATTTTTCTTTCAATAAATTTCATTGGAATATATTTAATTTTACATCGATTATTTTAGAATTGAAATAAAAATTTTATAGACTGAAAATTTAGTTAAAAAAAAAAAAAAATAAATGAAATTAAATCAGACATTGAATTAATTACAAAAAATTAAAAATTAATTATAGAATTAAAAAAATAAATAAATTTTCGATATTTAATGAAATATTCATTCCAAGATGAAATCATAAATACATATATATACAAATATATATATATATGAAACAATTTTCTGGTAAACGTGACTTTTAAAACCAGAATAACGAATTTTCCTGATATAATATCGACACATAATGGAGAAAAAAATGTCAATGTATAAAAGAATAAAACATCTATGAAAACAAAATATCATATAAATATTGATCTGAGAATTGAACAAAACTGTCAATTAAATTGTAAATGAAATCTATAAATAATAATTATTATTTTCATATATATATAAATATAAAGAAAAAAAAAATAATAATAAAGTATATAGAAGAGAAAAAAAAATCTATAATCTGTAAAATGAAAATTGAATAATGTCTTCATTGTGTGCTTTGCAGTCATTAAATTATTGCTAATAATAATTGAATTTTGTGTATATATGTGTGTAATAAATAATAATATTTGTATGTTACTGAATGTGTCAAGTAATAAATAACAGTTTAAAAGGGAGGTACAGTAACAACACTGACATACCTACGTTTCACTCTAAACGATATAAACTTAGTCTATCAGGTACTGAGTTGAGTTTTCTCTGTCATGGTAACATGCACCAGTCTGTTATGTCTATCTGGATTTTTTCCGATTTTTTTCTATTTTTTTCTTTTTCTTTCATTTTGCCTTAGGTACTATGAATAATCAACTATTAGTAGACCAATTAATGCTTTTTATAAACCACGGCTTTCGATGGATTAAACAAATAATAAAATTTATTTTAACGTAATTGAAATCAATTTTTTTTTTAAAAACTTTTATTAATTTTCTTTCAGTTTTTAATATTAAAAAAAAAATTCACTCTCTAAACGAAGAATATTTAAAATTAAAATACTGGAATTAAATAGGTAACAGAATAATAATAATAATTATTATTAAAAAAAACAGTGATTAAAATTATTGAAACAATAATTGTTATTATTATTAATAAAAACTAAAAAAAAAATATTTAAAAAACTATTATTTACTTTATATTTATAAAAAAAACTTGATGATTTTTTTTTATCTTCAAAATTTATATCGGTGAAATATATAATTGAAAAAAAAATTAATTTTTTATCCACAAATTTTGAGATGAAAAATTGTAATAATTTACAAAGAAAAATATTTTTTTTTCGTCGATCTTAAACGTTATAAACTTCACCGAAATAAAAATTTGTTAAAAAAAACTTGTCATAAAAACATTGTAAAATTACTATAAAAAAAATGTTTACTAAAAATTATATAAAACAAAATTTTTCTTAAAAAACAATATAAAAATGTACATAAAAATTAAAAAAAAAAATAAAATTAAAATAACAAAGAAATTGATTAAACTAAAAAAAATGTTGACAATGTAATTAAACAATAAAAATAGAAATTAAAAATAAAAAAGCACAAAAATAGTAAGTATAAGAAAATTTAAAGGACAAACTTTAAAGCGCTAATATAAAATACAATAAATAAGAAAGTACAAAAAATAATAAAAAGTGCAAAAAAATATAAAGTATAAAAAAACAATGAAAAAATAGATACAAAGAATAATAAAAATTACAAAAAAAAAAAATAAAATTGTATAAGATAAATATTGAAAAATTGAAAAACAAATTTAAAATCCCGAATTTCTTCTAAATGGTAAGTTAATAAATTTTATATCATTATGATGAGTGATTAAATGTTAATTAACAATATTAATTTTTATCTTTTATCTCCTGAATTTTCTTAATATCTTATAGAAAAAAGTTTGTTTTTATTTGCTCTTTGATTTGATATTTTGTTTCGAGTACTCTTTTCCTTTTTTTTTTTTTTTTTTTTTTTTGTACAATTTCAATAATTAATATTATCTTTTGATTCTACTTTTCAAAAAAAAGTTAATCCATCTCAAAACCGTGGTCCATCATAAACAAATTTTTCCTTCAATTGGTGGAAATTGAGAAAAAAATCCATTTTCTTTTTTTTTTGTCTAAAATTGGAATGACTGCTGATCTGACAGATGAAAATCGATATTTATAAGATTTTTAAACCTACTGCGAATTCAACAACGCATCTAAGAACATTACATGTATTTTTTTTCTTTCTTCCTAAAGCAGGAATGAGCTAATTTAATTTGTTTTTCTTTTATTTTCATTTTTGTTGTGTGTAAACACGGAACGGGATTATTCGTGAATAAATTATGTACATGACCTCTCCTAAAATTTGATTCCGCTATATTACTTAGAAAAAAAAAAATAATAACTGAAATATCCGAAATTATAAATTGTGAGCAAATATTTGAAAAAAAATGGGACAATTGCGCCTAAACTAAAACATGGGGGGGGGGAAATATTATATAAAAATGATTATTATAAATAGAAAGAAATAATTATTTCCTGTAAATTGTGTTGAAAAATTAAAGAAAGGCTATGAACATAAAATATATTATTTACACGATCAATGCCGTCCCTTTAGAGAGTTAGGCACCGAATTTCATTTTTTTTTTCTGAAATTTGAATGCTTAATGATTTTTTTCTACATGAAACTATAGAAACGGGTTTTTTTTCTATTTTCTATACTAAGAGCTATAAATTTATCTTGGAGAGCAAGAGCCAGACTTGTACCAAAAGAGGTTTTTTTTTTTTGTTTTGTTTTTGTTTTTGCATTTAGAGCATCACAGATTTCTGATCTTACCATGAGAAACTGCCATTTTTTCTAACCTCGATGAATTTTCGTTTCCATAATCCTCGCATCATCCATTCGGCTCGAGAATTGGAAAGGAATTATTGGACCTTATCTTCACGGAAGAAGCTTCACTTCCAAATCCTCCTAGATTATTGTTTAAACTGTTAGCACTGCTACGTAAAGTACAATTGACCATCGATAATTGTGTATCGTTCAAGCCTTGTTCTTGCTGTTTGCTCGAGGCACTACCACCTTTTGCTTTGTACTGAGAAAAAAGAAAATTATTTCACAAATTAATCTTGTTTTTTTTTTAAATTAGCAAAAAAAAAATTGTATTATAATATACGCACTCGTGAAATAAATAAAAACAAAAACAATTATACGAGAAATAGAATAGAATTAAAATTCATCCTATTTTAATTTTAATTTTTTTATAAATACCTGTGGATTTTCTGTTATATGAAGATCTTTACTATCGCCATTTGTATGCCACGAGTGAAGTAAAGGTTCCTTTGCACCTAATTCAATCACTCCATTAGGATGAGAACCCTATAATTAAAAAAAAAAAAATGGAAAATTTAAAGAAAAATATAACTAAAATTTGCGAATAAAAAGAAAAAAACAATTTTTTATGGATTAAAATTTCTTGCCTTTGTATCCAAATGAGGAGTTGTTGTCGGGGGACAAAGAACAGAGAGTTCAATTTCATTTCCCATAAAATGTGACACATGTTGATTAACAGGAATCGATGAACGATCAATACAACAGCCATTACCATTTCTTACCAAACCGCGATTTTTCAACGGTTGAGGCGTTTCTCTTAAGGACCTTGAGGTTTCCCATTTTTTTCTGCAGTACATACTAAATAAGCAAAGTCCAATACAAACTATGCTTATACTAAGTCCCAAAATTACTCCTAAATATAAAAGAAATAATTATTATAAACATTAATTATTTTAAATTATTAAATTAATGTATAATTATTATTATATTATTAGATAAATTTATCAATATATTTAATATTTACAGTAAAAATGTAATAGTTTGTCAGCATTATAAAATTTAGGAATAAAATTAACAGACATCGCACTTCTTAATTAGTAAATAAAAAGTAGAAAAAAGTAATCATGGAAAATATATTTTTGCATTTACAAAAAAAAATTATCAAATAATTTAAAACATTCTGTTTTTTTATAGTATTTGTTTGAAATTGTAAATTTTTAGTTTTATATTGTTATTCAGTATTTAACTTGCTAAAATATTAAATTACGGTCTTAAAATTTAAAAAAAAAAAAGAAAATAAATATCGAAAGAAAAATAGAGATCCAATTAATTATAATAATTTATAAAAACCTTTTCAATAAAAAACTATAATTTTCAGAAATTTCATTGATATTAATTACCAGAGAATTTATTTATTTTTAAAAATCTTAATTTTTTTTTTTTAGAAACTAATATAACGTTTCTCATGCATTCAAATCTAAAAAAATTTTCAAAATAGTCTGAATTTTTATTGCCATTAAAAATATAATTGCCAATCTAAAATTTATTGAAATTAAATAAAATTAAGCGTCAATTTTGATTGTATCCCCTGAAATACAAATTTTTTATAAATAAAATATTTAGAAAAATATTAAAACTAAAGTTTCTGTCTCTATAAATAATATTTGAAATAAAATATGTCTCTCACCGAGATTTTGATCAGATCTTGTTTTTGACGACGGTCTATGTCCATCGGAGGATGAAGGAATTTTAGAGGAACTGCTGCCTGCAACAATAATAATTGGATCCGACAATTTGCCTTTGCCGGCTTTTGTAGCTGCCTGCACCATTACAAAATAACGTCGACCTGATAGTAAGCCCGTTAAATTTGTTTGTGTCTTATTGCCAGGTACTGTTAAATTTTCCCATGTATCTGATTTCGATAAATCCATGGTGTAAACAACATAATAATTTCGCACTAAACCATTTATTTTTCTTGGCTCTTTCCATGCGATTCGCACTAATGTACTATTCCCGAGGAACCAATGTACGTCCTCAACTTTTCCAGGAACTGAAAGGAGAGAAAAAAAAAATTGTTCTTTCTCATTTCTCAATATTCGATAAAATTATGTTTCTAACGTTCAAAACAAAAATCATAATTTATTATTGTGATGGAATTTTTCAAATGGATCAGATAAAATTTTCAAAAAGTAATTAATTTTCAATGTTAAATCTTTTTTTTTTTCTATTGCGATAAAATTAAGTTTTTGAAAATATTAAACTAAAAAAAAAAAAATTTTCTTATTGAAATTTTTATCTGTTTTAAATAAAACCATTTTTTTCTTGAGATTTTTGTTTAAAAAATTTTTTATTTTAAATAGTTTTTTGTTCATTCATAAAGTGTTGAAAAAAATTTGGGACCCCAAAAAATTTGTTCATATCCTACGTAAACTTTAAAACAAAATTTAGTTTTAAATAAATTTTGAAATTCCAAATTAAAGATGATAAAAGCCTATTCTTTTGTATTTAAATTGATCAAGTGTATCTGAAGTATAAACTTTTTATTTAAAATAAATAATTATTTCAATTGTTAATAACTTTAACAAGAAAAAATTTTTTTTTTTTTTGTTTAATATTTTTAGATCGCAGTATATATAATCGCAGTAGAAGTAAAAAAAAGCGATTTAATATAAATTGAAAATTAGTTTATAATTTTAGGTGATCCGTTTGAGAAATTCTATTCCTATTATGTTTGCAATAAATTTTTTTACAATAGTAATTTATTATTAAATTATTTATAATTAAATTTACTTACTATCTTCGCCTGTGTAGCACTCAATCGCTTGACTAAATTCACTAGTTTGCTCGGGATCGTTTAGCACAACTCTGATTTTAAATTGGTACAATGTATATGGCTTGAGATCCACAATAAGAGCAGTAGTGTCATTACTGAAATATAAATGTACTTTAATTAAAATAAAATTTTACATTTCATTATAATCATAATAATTAATTAAATTATTTAATTAACATAATAATAATAATTAATAATTGAAAAAATTTTTATTTTCAATTCAATTTTTCTCAAATAAATAAAACATCTCGTCATTTTAATCACTACTTTGCCATTTAATAATAAAAAAATAATAAGATAGAGATAATTATTGAAAAATAATACAAATATATAAATTAGTTTACTGAAAATTTGTTCATGATAAACGAAACCCTTGGAAATTGAAATTTTTAGAAATAATTCAATTTTAAAATATTTTAAATTAAAATTTTTTTGAAAATAATTGAATTTCAATTGATTTTAAATTGAAATTTTTAGTAACTTTATTTGCTGTTTGTTTTTAAATTTTAAATAATTATTGAATTTCATAAAAATTTTAATTAAAAAATTAGTTTAAGATAATTGAATTTATGGAGAATTTCATTAAAATTATTGAAAATAATTCATTTAGAGAAGAATTTTAGTTAAAAATTTGTTAAATAATTGAAATAAAGAAGATCTGAAGAAGACCTAGATTATATACTGAAAAAGACAGATTTTAAAAATTTTGGAAAAAAAGGCGAAAAATTCGTATAATCCGTATTCTGAGATACTGATTTTTTTTTTTTTTTTTGAACAATTAATAAATACTGTTAATAAAATTAATAAAATACAAAAATAGCACAAACATAAAGAGATAAAATAGTTTTTAAAAAATTCTCTTACATTGTCATGCAATTAGATGTGTCCTTCATGATGTGCACAGCATGATAACAAACTTCGAAGATATCATTTCGATAAGGATTCGCTATGTTCCATGTTAAGTTGATCGAATTAGCCGATATCGGAATAGCCTCCAGGGTAGTTGGAATGTTACCTATTATTTTTAAGATTTATTATTTGCGTTTTTCTTTAAAATAACGATAATTTAGAAATTAAAAAAAAAAAATAATTTTAATTTAATTACATAAAACTTTAAAAAATAATAATAAATTTAAAGCAATACAATAAAATGGAGAATTTAATTTAATTTTTCTTTTCAACTACTTACTTAGAAATGAATTCGCAGATTCAATTCGTTTACATAAGCATTTTGTAGCCTCATTTACAGTTAGCATACACAGCCCCATTGTATAAGAAGTATGTGCTTCTAAAAAAGAAAACAAAGATCAATAAAATTTGTTTTTGAAATTCTTTTTTTTTTTGTTATTAAAGGCAAAAAAAAAGTTATAATTTAATTTTTTTTTAATAGACAAACCTAGGTTAGTAAATAAATACTCTGTTGTATTTTTAGGTAACAATCTAGTTTCCACTTTTTCTCCATTTTCATTTTCAACGTAGATTTTCCATAATTTCAATTCCAATCCATGATTTCGATTTAACTTTTCATTTATTGACCATTTCATCTGAAATTAGAAAAAAAAAATCATTTGTTTAAATTTCAAGAATTCAATTTTTAGCAAAGAAATATTTTTTCAATGTAAAAATTTTGGAATTAGAGGGTGAAAAAATTTTTTTTTTGATGACAAAATTTGAGAAAAAAAAACTTACAGAAACAACGGAAGTATTTATATTTGTCAGCAAGACGTTGACAATTTTTCTTATCAAAATTTGTTCAGACTCGGGAGATGGCATCGTTACAGTGGTCCACGCAAATTGTGCTTCATTCATGTTTGGCCATCCTTCTTCGGTCCTCGCCAACACTCTAACGTCATATTGAGCTCCAGGATTCAAATCTATATAAAAAAAAATAATAATAGGATTTTAAGAATTTCTAATAATTATTTATTTCATTTATCACTTATTTAGATTTATTAAACCATTTACTTAACATTTATTTAATTTGAATATACATTTCATTTATCATTTAATTAATAATTTATTTGTTCATTCTACATTTTAAGTTTTATTTGTTTTTTTTTTAATTTATAAAATACAAAAGGATTTATAAATAAATAAAATAACAATATTTACCAGTGAGCAAATATTGCTCGACGTCAGAATTAAAATAATGGACGAGTGACGAAGGATGTTGATGAAGTCTCCATTGTAATTTGTATTGTGTAACTATACCCTGCGCTTGCTTTTTATTTAGAGGCTTCCAAGTTACATTCAATTTCGTATCGCCAATCACATTTAAACTTATCTTTGGAGCAGATTTTGGAACTATAGTGAAAAATGAAAAATTTATAATAAAAATAAAAATAAAGATGTTTATAAAATTGAATTGAATAAATAGAAAACAAAAACTATTTACCACTTGGAGCGGTGGAACAAGTGATTGTTGTCGATTGATCGCTAGCTCCATGATTATTATATAGTCGTACATAAAAAGTGTAATTCGTGAATGGTTCAAGAAGTTTTGCAACTTCAACTGATGTGACATTTCCATTTTCTGGAAGTGAAACTTCTTCCCTACCTCCTTCTATAAAATAAATTTTTCTTTAATATAAATTAAATAAATTAATTTTTTAATTAAACTAAATATTTCTCTCTGTAAAGACTAAAATTTTGAAAATGGAAATAACAGAGTTGCGATAAGAATAAATTTTCCAATTTCCCTTATATTTCCAGGATATTAAAATTTTTAATTTAATCATTCTAAATTTGAATGAATTTAAATTCAGATAATTTGAAACTTAAATCAATTAAAATTTGGAGAAATTGAAATGCGGATAATTTGAAAATTGAATCAATTATTAAAATTTGATTAAATCAAAATTTCGGTTATTTTAAACTTGAATCAATTAAAATTTGGATAATTTTAAATTTAAGTTTATTAAAATTTGGATAAATTGAAATTCGAATAATATATATAAAACTTAAATTAATTAAAATTTAAATAAATCAAAATTCCGTTATTTTAAACTTGAATGAATTAAAATTTTAATACTTTGAAACTGAAATCAATTAATTTTTAGCTAGATTGAAATTTCGTTTGATTTAAATTTCAATATAAGTGTCCTGACGCGGTGAAAGGGACCTTACGGTTCCAAAGCAAATTTTACAGGAGAGGCGCTCGAAGTGTAGCACGAAAATAGACATTTGAGTAGTGGGGACGTACAACTGCAAATCAGCACCACTGCTCACCACTACAACGCTACACTCATATGTCTGTGAGCATGCTACCTTCGTGCATCTTCGGCTCTACCATATCTTGTACCTCCCTACTCTTTCTAAGCTCTGATGTAAACATTGCCCTGGGCCCGGCAAATGGATTCATTTTCTATTAAAGTTAATCGATTAATTTTGATTGACAAAATAATACGTAAATAACTTGAAATATCTTGTTCGGATTTGTCGGATTAATTAGATGAGGGCGAGCTGATTAAGAAGCATCTCCATTTTTAAAAGTAATTTTGTGGTTATAAAAGTTGGATTTTTGACAGAAGTGGGGACAGACATTGAATGGTGGCGCCAATTCTAGCTAGTGGCCGCTGCTGAACTAACTTACCCCAAATTACTCCACTTTAAATCTTTAATAAAATAATTTCCTCACAATATTATTGCAAAAATAATATTCCTCTATTATTCCTCCAAATGCCAACTCGAAATACTTTATCCTTTAAAGATGAGAAGAAATTTACGAAACCCCTTTTTGACAATGTTTAAACATTTTTTTAATAATTATTTATTAATTCTCTGAAAATCGTTGTTATCAAATAAAATTAATTTTTATTATTTATTTTATCAACAGAGAAATTTTCAATTTTTACTTTTCTTACAACAGTAAAAATAACATTACTTTTGCTGTATAAATAAGTTATATGTCTTGAATTTAAAATATAAATTATTATTATTATTATACATTATTAAAATAATGAAAATCTAATAAATTGTTTATTGCAATTTTACTGGCTTTAATATGAGATAAATCCATTTTTCGGGCCCAGCGCAATGTATACATCAGAGCTTAGAACTAGTGGGGAGAGACAAGAAATGGTAGAGCCGAAGATGCACGAAGGAAACACGCTCACCGATATACGAGGGTAGCGTCGTAGTGGTGAGCAGTGGTAGTGGTTTTGCAGTAGCCACGAGGCGCCCGAGAATACGCGGAAAAGTACTTATGTTTAAAGCTATATAACACAATAAGTATTTGAAAGAGACAAATTTTAATTGTTGGAAATGAAAAAGCAACTCAAAAACTATCGATTGGTATAAAAAAATAAAAATCGATTTATTTAATCATAAGGTCCCTTTCACCGCGTCAGGACACATAAATTCAATTTGCATTTGATTAAAATTTTTAATTAATAAATTTATTTTAACAAATAAAAAAAATTAAAATTAAAAACTAAAATAAGCGAAAGAATAAAAATTCTAAATAAAGGAATTGAAGAAAAAAAAAAGTTTATATATAAATTATGAAAAATGTGGAAAAATTTTCTTACCAACGGGACTGTAATGGACGGTATAGGCGGTAATATTAGTGGTTGGTAAATATTTTGGTGGTTCCCATGAAATTAGAATCTTTTTCGAAGATAGAGCATGACATTTCAAATTTGTTGGTGCGTCAGGATTATTACGTGAAATATTAACTTGAAGCCGACCAGCGGCTGAAATTTCACCAACTTCATTAACTGCGACACATTGATAAACTCCAGAATCCGATTGTACTGTATTTGAAATTGCCAACTCCATTTCATTGAAACCTTTCTCATAAATTGTTCGTCGTTCTAAAATTCCAAATTAATTATTATTATTATTATTATTGTTATTATTAAAAAACAAAATTATTCTATAATCAGGATGGCCATTAAAATTTGCGAACAAAATTCAGGGGTTTTTCAGTTTTTTCTCAGTTTAAAAAAAATTTCCACATTTTTTTAAATTGAGATTTTGTCAAATAATTTAAAATTCATATTAAAACGTGGCTTACTTTAAGTGTAAAACAAGAATTTACAATTAAGAAAAATATGTATTATTTAATTCTAGTATTAAAACGACAATCATTTTGTTTAATTAATATCGTTTCAAAGTTGTAAAAGAAATTTAAAAATATGGTGTATTTTTATATACTGTAAAATTGCGTTAAAAAACCTAAGATTTGATTTAAAAAATAAAAAATAAAAAAAAATTTATGATCTACATAACAATAAGCGTAAAAGAAAATTTTAAAAAAATTAAATATTATTTGACAAAAGTTTTAACAAAAATACTTTCGTTTCAATTTAAAGAAAAATAACAATTGTACTGCATTTATACTTGTAATTTAAAGTGAAGTAAATTATTATTTTTTTAAAAAATTAAAATTTTACCACAAAATTCCCGAAACCAAATATTGAGAATATAAATGAATATTGAAAACATTTTTTTACTTTAAACAAAATTCTAATTTTAAAATTTTGAAAGTTACAAATTTGTTCAAATTGGTTTCAGAACAGAAATTATTAATTATTTTGGTAAATACTAATATTACTGTTTAGCACAATTTAAAATTTTTAGAATTCTTATTTTTTTTTAATCAATCAGATATAAAATTTGTTTTTAATAAATTCTTAGTCTTTTCTTTTTTCAAGAAACCCTTTACTTCAGAGATAAATCAAAAATTTAGTACAATTCATCATAAGTTTAAATTAAAAAAAAAAAAAATTGAAAATATGAATTTTTAAAATTTCTAACTTGAATTAAAAATTGAAGGCGAATTCACGATTTTTTCAAGGTTCGATGCGGCCATCCGGATAATGTAAATATTTAATAATAAATATTGTTAAATTTTAAATTATTAAAAGGAATAAAATTTTTTTCTAATAAATAATAACATAATCAAAAAAAAAAAGAAGTTAGTAAAATATTAAATTGCTTTTTAATCAAATTAATTATTTTCTTCCATTTTAAGAGGGAAAATATAATTATTAATTATGAATAAAATCTCACCATTGATAGTGATATTTTTAGCATCTTTCAGCCAATAAATACGTGGCGTTGGATATCCCTGAGCTTGACATTCGAATCTTACTCTCATCCCATTTGGAAAAGTTTGTTCCGTTGGTTTTTTCAAAAAGGATGGCGGTACCATAACATTAATTGTAATATGCTGCAAAAAAAAAAGAGGAAAAAACAAATTTACAAATTAAATGAATATTCACAATTTTTTCTTCTGTTCGACTGAATTAATTTAAAAAAAAATTTTTTTTCTTAGCTTTGTTATTTTTAATAAAATAGTAAATTATAAAAAACTAAGGAGAATTTATATTTTTAAAAAATATAAATTAATTTAATAATTTTTTAGATATTTAATTTTATTAAAAAAAAATGGTTTCAGAGATTTCTTTCTAATATTTTCATATATTGTCATAATTATTAAAAAATTAATTTGGATTTAATTATGCACGATTAAATACCTGATATTCGATGGTTTTATTGAGCGAATTTTTGGCGGCACAAGTGTAAACACCCGAATTTGATGGTCCAACATTTTGTAAATTGAGAATACTTATGCCACTTGTGAAATTGAGATGAATTCTCAATTGTGTTTTATCAATAATTGAATTTCGAGGAACAAATGACCATGATGAAACAGAAGATGGATAACCAGAAACAGCGCACGCCAGCCGCAATGAAGAATTTTCAATTAATTCATAATTATAGGATGTTTGTGGTAATATTGAAATAACGGAATGTTCCTTTGAATTTGAAACAATTAATTTTGCTTCTTTGCTTAATGTAGTTTTATTTAAATAGTCATTTGTAGCCACACATCTGAAATAAAATTTGTATTTAATAAACATATAATTATTGTAATGACAATTTTATTAATTCTTTTTTTAAATAAACAAATTCCAACCTATAATCTCCAGCATCGGACAATTGTGTCGCATTTATGTATAGAACACCTGGTGATATAAAAGTATATCTAAAAAATAAAACATTTTTTTCCAAATTTTAATTATTTTTTAATTCCTTATTTTTCATTATGTGTAAATGTAATAATTTTTCAAATTTTTATATAAAGAAAAAATAGTTTACTTTTCACTATTGTCATCAAATAATAAAGGTTTTGAATTATGCTCCCATATGATATTTGGAGGGAAGGGCAAACTTTCAATTGAACATGAAAGTCTCGCGACTTCTCCTTCTTGTACTTTTACATTTTGAGGTTGTTCTTTAAACGTGCGAGCAAGTTCTGAAAAATTAATAAAATTAATTTTTGTTAACTACAAAAAATATTTAAAAATTAAATAAATAAAATTGAATTATATTAATTTAAAATATACAAATAAAAGAAAATAAATGAAAAAATAAAGCGACTCACTAGCAATTTGCACAACAACAGGCGATGATCGTAAATATCCCCCACAATTTGTTCGAACGACACATCGAAATTCATCTTTTGTCGAAGTTTTTGAACTATTACTATTATTAGTTATCAAATTTTTTTGTTTCGAAATATCTAAATTTTTTTTCTGCTGAAAATCAAAAATTGAAAAAAAAAAATTTTTTTTATGTAACAATTCAAAAATAATTGAAATAATAATTTTTTCAAAATCTGATAAATTTATAATTAAAAAAATTTTTTTTGCATACATAATTTCTAATTCAATATTATTGTTTATAAAAATAATTTTTAAAAATGAATCTATCGGGTTTTGAAAAATTGCTCCTCAATAAAAATATGAATATCAAGGTAAACAAAAATTAAATTTCAATATTATTATTATTTAAACTATTTATTAAAAATAAGAATTTGAATTTCCATTTGAAGTTATTATATATTTTTTTTTTATTAATTTGTCAATAGTTGTACCTTATAAAAATGAAGAGTTCCATTGCGATGGACCGAACAACGGGCAATTCCACACGGAGGTGCTTCATTCCCATTGTACAACCAGGTAATCTCTTGCTTTGACTTTACATTGCATCTGAGAGTGGTTCCTTTTTTCCCTAAAATTACAGGCCCCTTGGGTTCAATTTCCAATGAGAGTCCCCAATTTTCGATTTTTTCACAGTCAATTCCTTCGATAGCTAAAATTCAAAGTTATTTATTACATATTTATATAATTTAATTTAATTTTCATTCAATTATAATATCAATTCAGTAGCAATTTTCAATACAATTTATATTTTAATTTAAAATTTACTAAAAATAATTTATATTTTTAATAAAAACATTTTAATATTGTTTTTTTTTTTATAAAAAAAATATATATTTAATATTCTTTTTTAAAAAACAAATTAAATTAAATCTAAATTTCAAAATTTATATTAATATTTCTCTTATACACTGTAAAGTAATTTTTTTATATAAAATATGATGCAAATTAATCAAAATAACTACAAAAAGGTGCGATAATTAATCTTATTATGAATACCTGCATAAAAAATGTTAAACACATCAAATCTGTTGAAAATTTACAAAATAGAAAAATTCTAATAATCTTACTGTCTATTATTAAAATTAAATTATAAATATTCTGTTTTTTTTCTTTAAAGCAGTTATTTCGAACACAGTAACAAATTTATTCGAATTTAACCACCTATGTGAAAATGATTTTTTTTTTCCGGAGAAACATTATTATCATTACGTGCAAAAACGTTCATTATATTATCAAATAAAAATATTCTCGATATAATTCACCATATCATGAATTTTTTTTTTTTTTTCAAAACAAGATAAATTCATTATTAAAAACAAAATAAATCAAATTCAACAACGCAATTTAACTCGTCACCGGAAACAATTCGCAAAGCGAAAAAAAAAAAAATTCCAAGAAACTAAGAAATAAATTCTATGCTACACTAGTGTTTTATTGTTGAAATAGCGGGACTCCAGCACATTCCATTCTATTATATTCTATTGTACTACAAGATCTAATTCTTTAAAAAATGATAAATAAACGCAAGATATGACATATTTTAAATATGAGAAAAAAATATAGATGAACAAAATAGATTCAATAGAGAGAAACACGAATAGAGGAAATGGTTGAGTGAAAAATTTTATGGGTCGATGATCGTGTGGTCATATACCATGCGACTTTCGTGTGCAAGTATAAACAAACGATGAAAGAAGTATTATATACATATACGTATATCTATATATATATATATATTCAATAAGTAAAAAACCTCACCTGTACAATAAACGGGCTTTAGCACTTCCGTAAACAAGATGCTGAGCAAAAGTACTCTCGCCGCCATATATTTGCAATCATTTGGCACTGTTTTCACTGACGAACATTTGCCGAAACACGCCGCGGATTTCTAATACTTTCTCTCATCGAAAATCCTTGCCGCATGTTTGACATCATATATATATATATATATATACGCGAGAGTTCAGCCCCTTGCGCCGCGATATATTTTATATTCTTTTTTTTGCCCGGAAAAAATTGTCGTAATTAACATTAATCATGTGTTACATTTTTGCATTAAAATAAAACTTCACAATGCCAAGAATGTTACGCGACACAAAAACGTGGAATCAACGCGAGAAAATCAACAAGAGTTGATATATTAAAACGAGAAAAAAGAATTGATCACAACTTATGTTATACCACGCGATTTGCGCATCCATATAGCCATCTTTCTTCTATATTCTCCCACCCGTTTTGCCGATTTGTTCGCGAATCACAATCATTTCACCCGCCATCATATATAAGCGTCGCGCGAAAATTGTTTTTTGTAAAAAATCGATATATATATATATACATTTCAAAATAAAACTTTAATAATAATTTTTTAATAAAGAATTTTCTTCTTTTTTTTTTCAATTTTTCTAAAGTTTATGTAAATATTAAAATAATAATTAAAAAATAAAACATAATTTTATTAATGAATTTTTTGAATATATGTTTACTTTGCAAAAAAAAATTTTAAGGTTAAAACTACGCTATCTGGTGGGTAATTTTTTCACTGACAAATTGAAACTTAAACTTTGAATAAATAGAAGTTATTTTTTAAAAAAAAGAGAAAAATATTAACAATAATTAAAATATGTTAAAAAGTTACAATATATATTAATATTATTTAATATGTAATAATAATAATAACTGCAAAGAAAAAAATTATTTCGCGCCGTTTTCTATATTAAAAATTTTAAACAGTTGGTAGTTCTGAAATGTTCAATATTCATACAACTTCAAGACATTCAGGCACTATATGTACCACCACGGTGAATTTATATTCTTTAATAAATAATCCTCATTTTTAAAAAATAAACTCAATTTATTTTTAAATTAATGTATAAAGTTGGAATAAATATTATTTAAAAGAATCTTATTTAATTGAAAAGAAAAATACTGTTCGCTTCTGAAATCTACGGATAGAGGTCTAAAAAAGAAATTTTAAAGTAGTTGTCGTACATCTATGTTAAATTAATCTCTGGTTTCATTTTTTTTTTAATGGAAAAAATGACTTTTGGCGAAAAATAAACGACAAACACGTGTCGATTGTAATAAAACAGCCGGTATTGTGTTTTTTATAAGAAAAACGCGTGAATAAATAAAGTTCAATAATGGCGACAAAGTTGCCGGAAACAATAAATTTTCCTCAAGAGGAAGAAGTTGTTTTGGATTTGTGGAATAAATTGGATGTTTTTCAAAAATGTCTACAACAATCAAAAGGCAAGCCAAGATATTCTTTTTATGATGGTCCACCTTTTGCAACAGGATTACCTCATTATGGACACATTTTAGCGGGAACGATAAAAGATATTGTCACTAGGTGAGTAGTAAATTGTTTAATTTTTTTATCTTATGCAAAATTAGTTCTGCTTACTTTTATAACCTATATACTGAATAGTTTTGAACACGTGTCGCATATACATATATGTGGATTAATCTCAATTGTTGCATTAATTAAAAAAAAAAAGAAATAATATTGATAATAATAATAATAATAATAATAAATTTATTGAAACATTATAATTATGGATACGTGAAAATACATTTTAAAACTATGTGAAATTCCACAAAGGAATTAAATCTAACGCAATAACCTAGAAAATTACAATACCTCTTTATATAGAGTAAATAGTTTTAGTTGTATTTTCATGTTTGAATTTGAAGGCTTTACCTTCATTAATTACAATACTCAATTTTAATTAATCTTTTAATTATTTTATAATAATAAGTTAATATAATTGTTACTATATGAATAAATTTTTCGTCTTTAAAAAATAAAGTTTTCTATCAAGAGTATAAATACTTAAAATATTAGCTCATTTAAAAAAAAAAATAAAATAAATAAATATAGGTATAGAAAGTATAGAGTGAGTTGAAATTTTGACATTTTCAGTAACACTGTTATTTTAAAATTCATACAGGCCTCGGATTATACGACTTTTTCCGACATATTTTAATAAAATGCGACTTTTTCGACTTTTTTTTACATTTTTAAAAAAAAAATGTAAACAAAATACATTTTTTTAGTATACAATGCAGATCTTTTAGATCTTCTTTATTTCAATTATTTAACAAACTTTTAACTAAAATTCTTCACTAAATTAATTATTTTTAATAATATAAATGAAATTCTTCACAAATTCAATTACCTTAAACTATTTTTCAATTCAAATTTTTATGAAATTTCATAATTATTTATAATTTCAAAAAAAAAAAAAAAAATTAGCAAATAAAATTTTCAAAAATTTTTAATTTAATGGTATGTGGACAAAAGACGTGTTTTGTGGTTTGAAACTTTCTCTGAAATAAAATATGATTTCCGGTTAAAATTTTGGAAAAATGATTTAGTTTGGTACAAGAAATCTCGCTATTCTTCTCATTTACTATAACTTAACGCGAAAATAATAAAAATAAAGCATAATAAATACATAGTAAAATAATGTGTTTTATCATAGTTCATTCACCGGTCACTCGCTCGAATTGGCGCTGTTTACTGGAGCACTGATACACTCAAGCAACGTCTGTGTATGCGCCGACATGTTTCTTTTCATTTTCGTTTAAAAATTAAACTTTTTAAACATCATTTTTTAATAATTTAACTCAAAATTATGTATTTTTTGGAGAACAGCGCAATTCCTTGTACCCTAATCTATCATTCCTTTAAAATTTTAGACAAAAATCTTTTCTCATTTTAGAATGAAATCTATACTACCAAAACACATTTTCCCATATTAGGTCACGTTGGAGGTTCCCACATACCCTTAAGGCCAGGTGCAACTCGTCAAATGTAAACAAACATGAAAATGTACGTAATTATTGACACATTTGTGACTGCTTTTTTTTTAATAGGGTTAGTCCACTGACTATCGTCTTATAGTGGTTGCGACCAAATTTTTAAAAAATCAAGTTTTAATATATGTGAAACTCGATGAGTTCATTAACCATAATATTATGGTAAAAATTTTATTCCCTTTAAAAATATTAAATATCAAAAGTAGGAGGTTCACAATGTGATTTTGTAACCTTAAATTTTTCAATTTTTTTAAAAACGCTATTATTAAAAAACTATTAAAAATTAGATGTTGGAACTCACCAAAAACATAAATCACTTTATTCTGCACAGAGGAACGAAAGAATTATTGCAAAAATTTATTATTTTTGGATGATATACGATTTTAAACAAAATTTTATTTAAATATTCTCAAGATTTTTATTTATTTATAACTTTTTTGTCGGTGCTCCGAAAAAATTGAGGTTTTGCACAAAGATTTTTTAAAATATTCTTTACCTTCTATTAAAATCTTACGAAGGTGTTTTGTTTCGTTTTGGAGGTATTAAAAATTCCCACCATACGCAAATATGGTCGTGATTTGGCCCTAAAACTGTTTAATCAAGTTGAAAATCATGAAAACAAGATTCTTCAAAACATACTCAAATATAATCCTAAAGTCTGCCGTCCTCGACGTCGGCGCCCTCGCATAGTAGAAATACTTGATGAGGGTCTACAATAATTTCTAAATAGACCATCTTCAAGGATCCAAATTTCCTTCAATATTCGATATCAAGGGTAAAGATGCTAAAGCATCAACCTAAATATTTATTAGAGATCAAAAGCAAAAGCAAGAAACCTTCAGAAAATTGTTGTTTCAGTGTAATTTTCATTTTATTATAATTATTAATATTATTCATTAAATACGGTGTTATGCTGTAGTTTTATATATGAATTTTCCATTTTCTCAGAGAGAAAGAACAATTTTTATTTTCTATTTAAAAAAAAGCTGTCGCAAATTTGTCAATAATTACGTACATTTTCATGTTTGTTTACATTTGATGAGTTGCACCTTAAAAACACATAGATGGGAAACAGCTGCTTAAAAACTAAGACGTGATATTTTAGAAGAAATGAAATTTCTGTTGTTTGGACCATATGTTATTTGAAAATTCGAAAAAGGGAATTTATTATAAGTGACTATTATAAGAAATAGAGATTATGAAAAATTATATATATATCGCCAAAACAAAATTTAGGACATTTGAATTTTCTGTGTTTTGTCAATTATGTAAAATAGCAAATAGTGTCAGTGAATTTTAGGTTATGTGGATTTTAGAAAAATAACAATTATAACAAATAAAGTTTAGAAAATTGAAATTTATGTAAAATAATATTTCGAAGCAATAAAAATTATACTAAATGGAAATGTGATTAGATGAAAATTCTAGATAATTGAAATTTGAACATTTAAAACTTCTAACCAATGGTCATTCGTCAAAAGAAAAATTATGTTAAAAGGTAATTTGATTATTAAATAATTAGAATAAATGATTATTCGAAAAAAGAAAAATTATGTTAAACGTTATTTCAAAATATAAAAATTATGTGAAATGACATTTCGATAATAAGAATTTCGATGTCTTGAAAATTATGAAATTGTAATTTGGGGATAATAATCATGCGGCCCGCTTTTTGCGTTTTAACAAGAATGAAAATATTTTTGCTATCTTAAAATGTAAGTTACTTGAATTTAGATATTTGTGGGGTCATAAGATGTGTAGAAAAAAGATGCTTGTAAATTTTAAGATACGTCAGTATTTGAAGTTACTAAAATATAAAATACATTAAGCATCTTACATAAGAGGCCATAGTTATCCTTAAAATTTTTTTCATCAAAAATATGTGAAGCAGTTTGGCAAAGATACTATTTAACTTCTTAAACTAAGATATTTCAAATAACTAAAAAGTTACTACCAAAACGTCTTAAAAATGACTACCAAAACATCTTATATTAAGATACTTCTTTCTGAAATTTTTGAAAATTTCGAGTTTCAGTAAAGATGTTTAAATTTTTTGGATTATTTATAGTAGAGAGATGTTATGTTATTTTTTGGTGAAATCCACATTTATTTAATATTTAAATACATATATTAGCTTTCGCCCATGCACGCTGGGCCTCTTCAGTTATTAAATATTACTGTAAAAAAATTGATTTATATACAAAATGAAAAAAAGTTTTGAAAATACTGTTATAAAATTTCTATAAAAATTAATATTCTTTAAAAATATAAAAATTGTTGTATGTGTAGAACATAACGAGTTTTATTTAAAAAATTACACTGTCCGACAAAAATGATTTTTTTTTCTGCCCCTCGGATAATTCCGGTCACTTTCGATAGATTTTTACACGCTGATTACGAATCTGCAAATAAAAATGCTCTAGCACGTCCAGTTTCTGAGAAAATTAGTGTTAAAAAGTCGAAAATGCGTGTTTTTGGCCATATTTGAATTTGAATAAAATAAAAACAAGAGGTGCTAGAATCTTGTTCTTGGGTTCAAATGAAAGCTTGAAACTTAAACAACAATTCCATGAAGGGAAAAATAAAGGCATAATGATAAGGCTGTTAAAACTTATTTTTTCATTTGCGATTAATTTTGTCATTTTTCATATTCAACGAACACTGTATATAACCCTAACATTTTGAAACAAGTGACAAGCAAGTGAATGAAACATCATTCGAATTTTAAAATTTTTCAGTTGACTTTCAGGTTACTTATTATCTAATTAATTTTCTATTAACTATTTTCGTCAATCGTGACGAGTATAAACACACAAACTTTAATAAATAATAAATAATTATCACAAATAACAAAATTTCACAATACACCTAAAAAAGTTTATATAATTAACATCTTATTAGTTTCATTTAACATAAAATACACAAATACAATATTTAAAATTCTATACGATAGATAAAAAATTTCAAAATATATCTTAAAAAATTTTCAAAAGATGTCTTTGAATTTTTAATATTCATATTTTTAAAATTCACACTTTAAAGATATTATTATTTAAAATCAGTTTAATTTTTCATTTATATATCTGAATTTTCAAATAAATGAAATTAAAATAAAAATATATCCGAAAAATAAAATTAATTAAAATTTTTGATTAACAAAAACATTTTTTATAAAATTTTTAAATTTTTATTTAAATATTAATTTAACCTATATGTAATAATTGAAAGTTAATTATTTATTACTGTATTTTGTTAATAAAAACAATTCGGCCCAGCGTTCTGCAGAAGTCTTCAAAAAACTGTATAGTGAACATTATCTTATTTAAATATGGTTTAAAGAAGGTAAGTTTAAAAATTAATAGATAATAAGTAACCTGAAAGTCACGTGAAAAATTTTCAAATTCGAATGATGTTTCATTCACTTGTTTGTCACTTGTTTTAAACTATTAAGGTTATACACGGTGTTCGTTGATTATGAAAAATGACAAAATTAATCGCAAATGAAAAAATAAGTTTTAACGGCCTTATCATTATGCCTTTAATTTTTCCCTTCATGGAATTGTTGTTTAAGTTTCAAGCTTTCATTTGAACCCAAGAACAAGATTCTAGCACCTCTTGTTTTTATTTTATTCAAATTCAAATATGGCCAAAAACACGCATTTTCGACTTTTTAACACTAATTTTCTCAGAAACTGGACGTACTAGAGCATTTTTATTTGCAGATTCGTAATCAGCGTGTAAAAATCTATCGAAAGTGACCGGAATTATCCGAGGGGCAAAATCATTGTCGGACAGTGTTATTAATGAATTAATATTTTTTTAAATTTTCATATAGTATATTGTAGTTTTAAACCTTAAACAGCATTAATTTCACCTGTCCCCTTAAAAACAACTTTTTAGTTTGCTCTCTAAATCTGAATTAGTAAAAATGTTTACTAATTTAAATTAGTGACTCACTTTTTGCTTCTTTATTAGTAAAATTTTACTAATTATTAGTAACTTTTACTAACAATTAGTAAAATTTAACTAATTCTAAAGCAAAAAGTGAGTAAGAACTAAGAATTCTTAAACAATAGCAGCCCTGATATTGCAAAAATTAAGCCTCTCCCCCTTTTTTTTTTGTAGATACGCACATCAAAATGGTTATCACGTTGATCGTAGATTTGGTTGGGATACTCATGGACTTCCAGTCGAATATGAAATTGACAACGCTCTGGGTATCAAGGGCCCCGACGATGTTGCCAAAATGGGTATAGCAAATTATAATAATGAATGTCGAAAAATTGTTATGCGCTATGCAACCGAATGGGAAAAAATAGTCGGTCGTATTGGTCGTTGGATTGATTTTAAAAATGATTACAAAACACTTTATCCATGGTATATGGAAACAATTTGGTGGGTTTTTAAAGAATTATTCAATAAGGGCCTCGTTTATCAGGGCGTAAAAGTTGTACCATTTTCAACTGGTTGCAATACACCTTTGTCAAATTTCGAAGCCGGACAAAATTACAAAGATGTCATTGATCCATCGGTGGTTGTTGCATTTCCACTTATTGATGAGCCAAATGTTTCACTTCTCGCCTGGACAACAACACCATGGACACTACCAAGTAATCTTGCATTGTGCTGTAATGCCGACTATGAATATCTTGAAATTATCGATTCAGCAACGGGTAAAATTTACATAATTCTTGAATCAAGTTTAGAAGTTGTTTATAAATCAAAGGATCATTATACTGTTAAGGGTAAAAGAAAGGGTAGTGAATTAAAGGGGAAATCTTATGAGCCACCATTTGATTATTTTGCACATCTTCGAAAGAAAGGTGCATTTGTTGTGTTGAATGATAATTATGTGACTGCGGGATCGGGTACGGGAATTGTTCATCAGGCACCATATTTCGGTGAGGATGATTATAGATGTTGTCTTGCAGCTGGAATTATCACTAAGGAACAAGAAATGGTGTGTCCTGTGGATAATTGTGGTAAATTTACAGAACCAGTGAGTGAATTTAAAGGGGTTTTTGTAAAAACGGCCGACAAGGAGATAATGAAAATTTTAAAAACAAAGGGAAAATTAATTCACAGTGGAACAACGACACATAGTTATCCATTTTGTTGGCGTTCAGATACGCCATTGCTTTATAAAGCTGTGCCATCTTGGTTTGTTCGTGTAACAATGATTAAGGATCGTCTTATGAAGACATATTCGGAGACTTATTGGGTGCCAGAGTATGTGAAGGAGAAAAGATTTGCCAATTGGTTGGAGAATGCACGCGATTGGGCAATTAGTCGTAATCGTTATTGGGGTAATCCAATTCCCCTTTGGATATCGGAGGATGGTAAGGAGATTATGTGCATTGGAAGTATTGCCGAATTGGAACAATTAACTGGTGTTAAAATAACTGATATTCATCGTGAGAGTATTGATAATTTAACAATACCATCAAAACGACCTGGACAACCGCCATTGAGAAGAATTAGTGAAGTTTTTGATTGTTGGTTTGAATCGGGTTCAATGCCCTATGCACAAATGCATTATCCATTTGAAAAAATTAAAGAATTTGAAGAGAGTTTTCCCGCTGATTTTATTGCTGAGGGTATTGATCAAACGCGCGGTTGGTTTTATACATTGTTGGTGATATCAACTGCATTGTTTGGTAAGGCGCCATTTAAAAATTTAATTGCAAATGGATTGATATTGGCGGGCGATGGTCAAAAAATGTCGAAACGAAAGAAAAATTATCCGGATCCAATGGAAATTGTTAATAAATATGGTGCTGATGCATTAAGATTGTATTTGATAAATTCACCAGTTGTAAGGGGTGAGAATTTGAGATTTAAAGAAGAGGGCGTGAGAGATGTGATAAAGGATGTTTTTCTTCCATGGTATAATGCATTTCGTTTTCTTATACAAAATATTGAGAGATATGAGAAAGCGGAAAATATTGTCTTTCAATATCACAGTCTTGAGGATAATAAGAATACAAATGGTAATATTATGGATAGATGGATTATTTCTTTTACTCAATCGCTTCTTGAATTTTTAAAACAGGAAATGAGTGCCTATAGATTGTACACAGTTGTTCCAAGATTAATAAAATTTATCGATAATTTGACAAATTGGTACGTTCGCATGAATCGAAAACGTATAAAGGGTGACACTGGTTCTGATGATTGTCAACGTGCATTAAATACACTTTTCTATATTGTCTACACAATGTGTCGTGTCAATGCACCATTTACACCGTTTTTAACTGAATTTATGTTTCAAAGATTAAGAAAATTATTGCCAATGACAAAAACTCATGACAGTATACATTATGAAATGATTCCAAATTCATCGCCGAAATTTATTAATCAAGATATTGAAAAAGCTGTGGCATGTATGCAAACGGTGATTGATTTGGGACGAATTGTTCGCGATAGAAAAACAATGCCAGTTAAATATCCATTGCCTGAAATTGTTGTCATTAATCAAGATAGTCGTGTTATTGATGATATTGTTTCATTGACGCCTTATATTCTTGAGGAATTGAATGTGAAGAAATTAACAGCAACAACGGATAAGGAGAAATATGGAGTTACACTTAAAGCTGAGCCTGATCATAAAAATCTTGGTGCACGTCTTAAGGGTGAATTTAAAGCAGTAATGGCGGCAATTAAAGATCTTTCGAATGATGAATTACAAAAATTTGTCAATAATCAGAATATTGTTGTTTTGGGTCATACATTGGAAAAGGATGATCTTCGTTTGAGTTACAGTTTTTCGGGACCGGCTGCTGAACAATTGTCAAAACAATATGAGGCACATTGTGAGGGTAATGTTTTAATTTTATTGGATGTCACACCCGATGAAATGATGTTGAATGAAGGTTTAGCGAGGGAGATAATTAATCGTGTGCAAAAATTACGAAAAAAAGCACAACTCGTTCCAACTGATGAAGCAACTGTTTATTATGATATTAAGGATAAAAATAGTACTTTGGCAAAAGTTGTTGATACACATCAGAAATTTATTGAGACAACAACAAAAACTCCACAAATGAATTATTCTAAATTTCAAAATGAGGGCAATATTATTATTTTAGAAGAAATGCAAAATATTAAAGGCGTTGAAATGAATCTTGTTTTGGTGAAAGGAAATTCAATGTGTCAATTGACAAATGGCATTAAACCATTTGTGGAATTTGTTAATGTTCATCTTGTCAATTGTTCGCCTCGATTTGGTGCCAATAGTCAACAGGGGACAATTTTATTGAGAGATTTTAAAAATAATTTGACAATTAATTATGAGAAATTTTGTGAAACTGTGGAAAATATTTTTGGTATTTATGGATGTAATTATCAATTGTATGCAAATAATGAGAAACTTGGTGAGAATACAAATTTTCTTCAATTACATGGTGAAAATATTTTTATTGTTCGTGATGGTGATGTACCACCAATTGATAATTGTAAATCAAATGATAAAACTTTGCCAATTTGTAAGTTTATTAATTTCAAAACATGTGGTAAAGAAGGGACAATTCTTTTGGAAAATCCTCAAGGAAGTCATGTATTAAATGTTGAGAATTTAAAAGATAGACTGATTTCATTATGTGGAATGAATAAAATTTCAATTCCTCATTGTAAAAAATCGGTGTTTGAATTGCATGGTACTGTTGTAGAATTTTGATGAAATCAATTAATCATTATTGTTTATTTCGCAAATTCATTTATAATAATTTAATTAAAATTCGTCTCTATAGTTAAATGAATTGGATTCATTTTTAAAAGAACTAATTTTCATTAACTTATAAAAAAAATATTTTTTTTTTTTTCATCAACAACAGTCTGTAAATAATTCTGACATTTTATTAACTTATTAAACATACAAAATAAATGATTTGAGTATTTTTTTGTCCTTTTCCTATATGTGTAAAAAAAAATCTGAATTTTCGATTTTTTTTTATTTTTCTTAGTGAGAGAATTTAGTTGAAATAATGTTTAAGGGTATGTGGGCAAAGGACGTTTTTTTGTGGTATGAAACTTCTTCTGAAATAAAAAATGATTTTGGGTTAAAATTTTTGAGAAACGATTTTGTTTTGTACAAGGAATCTCACTGTTCTACTCATTTACCATAATTTAACGTAAAATTAATAAAAATAAAGCAATAAATAGTAAAATAATGTATTTAATCGTAGTTCCTTCAGCGGCCACTTGCTCAAATTGGCGCTGTTTACTGGAGCACTGACACACTCAAGCAACGTCTGTGTATACGCCGCCATCTTTGTTTAAATTTTCGTTTAAAAATGCCAATTTTAAACTTCATTTTTTAATAATTTAACTCAAAATTATGTATTTTTCGAAGAACAGCGAGATTCTTTGTACCCAAATCTATCATCCCTCAAAATTGTAGACAAAAATCTTTTCTCATTTTAGAGTGAAATGTATACTACCAAAACACATTTTTCCATACTAGGTCCCGTGGGAGGTTCCCACATACTCTTAAAGGATTTTTTAAGAAATTTTATAAAGATAGTTAAAACAAGTTGTAAATTCAGATGTTCATTACATGCACATTTTGCTTCCTCTTCACGATCAGCAAAAAAATTTGCTTCCTCGTAGAGAAAGCAAAATTTTATTGACAAAATGTGAATTTTTGATTTTTTAACTTTCATTAATCCTTTAAATTTACCTCAAATGTATACTTCATATATCGATCGATTCGTCTTGAATTTTTGGAAAATAGACCATAAAATTTTTTTTTTTTGAGTATTTTTCAAAATCCTTTGGTCAGATTTAAGATATTAATATGATAAATGAGCCTACTAAATTTTATCAAAATCCATTAAAACCTTTCAAAGTTATCTTCTAAACAAAAAAGGGATCCACACACTAACACACACACATAAATACATCCGGACAATTGATCAGGATCTCATATAACATGTTTCTATAAAGAAAAAAATTTGTTTCCGCCACTTTGAAAAGATTTATAAACGAAAGGAATACAAAGCTTCCTCCACCAGGAAGCAAAAAATTCAATTTTTCTTAGGCAGCCGATTTAATTGCATATTCATGCACAGAATACACCGAAAAGTGTAGAAAAAAATTGACACCCAGATCCGAGCACAGAAAAAACTTGGACTCATTTTTGTTGCAACTCATTTTCTTTTGGGTATCGAAATGAGTGTGGGACAAACTTCATGTTATTCAAAATGATATTGGCTGGAATTTCAGATTTCTAAGTTGGCATCATAAGCAGAGTAATTTTGTATTTCAATTATTGTTTCTAATATTTCAACAACACCAGAAAGATTATTTTGACCAGTACGAATATTTAGAAGTTTTTAAATAAAAATTATTTATTATTATTTACGTAGATAATAATTAATTTCATAAGTTTTTAAATTTACCGCTATTATTTAAGTTGGCAGTACCGTTCCTGTTGTCAAAACACATGTTTTCATTTTTCTAACCTAAAAACATATTTCCTTTATTATTTTATTACGCGATTACAAGCAATTTTTAATCAAATATTATTAAGTCTAGCGTGTTATTTACTTCTTTGTAATTATTATATTACATTTTTTTGTGCAAAATTATTCGTTATTTCACAATATTTTTCCATTTTTCTTTTTCTCAAAATGAAACTTGCCTGTTTCATTTTGATACTCTTACCTTAGAACTCGAAATGAGACAACCAGATTCATTTTTGTTGTGAATCAAATTGAGTATAGAATCTATACTCAATTTGAATTCAGGTTTTTTCTGTGAGTAGAGGAAGAGCCTTTTCATGACCAAAAACGCATCCAAAAGCATAAAAAAATTTCCAAAAAAATTCAATTTTTCTTAGGCAGAAGATTTTATTGCATATTCAGGCACAAAATACACCGAAAAGTGTAGAAAAAAATTGACACCCTGATCCGAGTAGAGGAAGACCATTTTTAAGACAAAAAACGCATCCAAAATCATAAAATTCTTTCCAAAAAATTCAATTTTTCTTAGGCAGACGATTTTATTGCATATTCAGGCACAAAATACACCGAAAAGTGTAGAAAAAAATTGACACCCTGATCCGAGTAGAGGAAGACCATTTTTATGACCAAAAACGCATCCAAAATCATAAAAAAATTTCCAAAAAAATTCAATTTTTCTTAGGCAGAAGATTTTATTGCATATTCAGGCACAAAATACACCGAAAAGTGTAAAAAAAAATTGACACCCTGATCCGAGTAGAGAAAAACCCTTTTTATGAACAAAAACGCATCGAAAATAAAAAAAAACTTACCAAAAAAATTCAATTTTTCTTAGGCAGACGATTTTATTGCATATTCTTGCACAAAATACACCGAAAAGTGTAGAAAAAAATTGACACCCTGATCCGAGTAGAGGAAGACCATTTTTATGACCAAAAACGCATCCAAAATCATAAAATTCTTTCCAAAAAATTCAATTTTTCTTAGGCAGACGATTTTATTGCATATTCTTGCACAAAATACACCGAAAAGTGTAGAAAAAAATTGACACCCTGATCCGAGTAGAGGAAGACCATTTTTATGACCAAAAACGCATCCAAAATCATAAAATTCTTTCCAAAAAATTCAATTTTTCTTAGGCAGACGATTTTATTGCATATTCTTGCACAAAATACACCGAAAAGTGTAGAAAAAAATTGACACCCTGATCCGAGTAGAGGAAGACCATTTTTAAGACAAAAAACGCATCCAAAATCATAAAATTCTTTCCAAAAAATTCAATTTTTCTTAGGCAGACGATTTTATTGCATATTCAGGCACAAAATACACCGAAAAGTGTAGAAAAAAATTGACACCCTGATCCGAGTAGAGGAAGACCATTTTTATGACCAAAAACGCATCCAAAATCATAAAAAAATTTCCAAAAAAATTCAATTTTTCTTAGGCAGAAGATTTTATTGCATATTCAGGCACAAAATACACCGAAAAGTGTAAAAAAAAATTGACACCCTGATCCGAGTAGAGAAAAACCCTTTTTATGAACAAAAACGCATCGAAAATAAAAAAAAACTTACCAAAAAAATTCAATTTTTCTTAGGCAGACGATTTTATTGCATATTCTTGCACAAAATACACCGAAAAGTGTAGAAAAAAATTGACACCCTGATCCGAGTAGAGGAAGACCATTTTTATGACCAAAAACGCATCCAAAATCATAAAATTCTTTCCAAAAAATTCAATTTTTCTTAGGCAGACGATTTTATTGCATATTCTTGCACAAAATACACCGAAAAGTGTAGAAAAAAATTGACACCCTGATCCGAGTAGAGGAAGACCATTTTTATGACCAAAAACGCATCCAAAATCATAAAATTCTTTCCAAAAAATTCAATTTTTCTTAGGCAGACGATTTTATTGCATATTCTTGCACAAAATACACCGAAAAGTGTAGAAAAAAATTGACACCCTGATCCGAGTAGAGGAAGACCATTTTTATGACCAAAAACGCATCCAAAATCATAAAATTCTTTCCAAAAAATTCAATTTTTCTTAGGCAGACGATTTTATTGCATATTCTTGCACAAAATACACCGAAAAGTGTAGAAAAAAATTGACACCCTGATCCGAGTAGAGGAAGACCATTTTTATGACCAAAAACGCATCCAAAATCATAAAAAACTTTCCAAAAAAATTCAATTTTTCTTAGGCAGACGATTTTATTGCATATTTTTGCACAAAATACACCGAAAAGTGTAGAAAAAAATTGACACCCTGATCCGAGTAGAGGAAGACCATTTTTATGACCAAAAACGCATCCAAAATCATAAAAAACTTTCCAAAAAAATTCAATTTTTCTTAGGCAGACGATTTTATTGCATATTTTTGCACAAAATACACCGAAAAGTGTAGAAAAAAATTGACACCCTGATCCGAGTAGAGGAAGACCATTTTTATGACCAAAAACGCATCCAAAATCATAAAATTCTTTCCAAAAAATTCAATTTTTCTTAGGCAGACGATTTTATTGCATATTCTTGCACAAAATACACCGAAAAGTGTAGAAAAAAATTGACACCCTGATCCGAGTAGAGGAAGACCATTTTTATGACCAAAAACGCATCCAAAATCATAAAAAACTTTCCAAAAAAATTCAATTTTTCTTAGGCAGACGATTTTATTGCATATTTTTGCACAAAATACACCGAAAAGTGTAGAAAAAAATTGACACCCTGATCCGAGTAGAGGAAGACCATTTTTATGACCAAAAACGCATCCAAAATCATAAAATTCTTTCCAAAAAATTCAATTTTTCTTAGGCAGACGATTTTATTGCATATTCTTGCACAAAATACACCGAAAAGTGTAGAAAAAAATTGACACCCTGATCCGAGTAGAGGAAGACCATTTTTATGACCAAAAACGCATCCAAAATCATAAAAAACTTTCCAAAAAAATTCAATTTTTCTTAGGCAGACGATTTTATTGCATAATCTTGCACAAAATACACCGAAAAGTGTAGAAAAAAATTGACACCCTGATCCGAGTAGAGAAAAACCCTTTTTATGAACAAAAACGCATCGAAAATAATAAAAAACTTACCAAAAAAATTTAATTTTTCTTAGGCAGACGATTTTATTGCATATTCCGGCACAAAATACACCGAAAAGTGTAGAAAAAAATTGACACCCTGATCCGAGTAGAGGAAGACCATTTTTATGACCAAAAACGCATCCAAAATCATAAAAAACTTTCCAAAAAAATTCAATTTTTCTTAGGCAGACGATTTTATTGCATATTTTTGCACAAAATACACCGAAAAGTGTAGAAAAAAATTGACACCCTGATCCGAGTAGAGGAAGACCATTTTTATGACCAAAAACGCATCCAAAATCATAAAATTCTTTCCAAAAAATTCAATTTTT